CTCCCCTGAGGTTACTAATCCTTTACAAATTCAGTCCAAATGATTAAAATATTATTTTAGAGAGTAAAATTATAATTTTGTACCTGATTTGTCCTTTGTACCACATGTCCAATTAGGCCTGTCAATCGGGTCTAATGAGTCGGGTTTTGATGAGTTCAAGCTCAACTCATTTAATTTGAAACATTTTCGAGTTTCGGGCTATGAGTTTCGGATTCGTAAATGTGAATCTCATACTCAGCTCACATAATATTCGGGTTGTGAGCCTTAATCGGGCTTAGCCCAAACTCACTTATTACTCCTTAATTTTCTTAATATAATTACTATAACTATTAAGTTGTAAAACTAAGTTAACATTTACAAGACTATAATATTAAAACTAAACATGAACAAATAATAGTTCTTAAAAAGTATATAAACCAAAAATTTTTTCAACAATATTTATATTTAATCCATTTAAAATGCATGAAAAATAGTAATAAAACATGCGATCATAAGCCAATACATCTTTAAAAGTTGAAACTTTTTTTATAATCTTGTGATTTAAATCCAAATATGCTTGATGATTTTTGTATTTGTAGACCAAAAAAAAATCAACCAATAATATGCCAATACAAAAATTTACTCAACCAATAAGAAAAATTAGAGATTTAGTTATGCATTACTAATATTGGCTCTCAAGAAATCTCATGAAAGAATCTTTAGATGTATTTTTGTATTTTGTAATTTATATATATATTTAGTATTTAGTAAAAATATATTTGGATATATAAATATACATAATATCAAAATATAAATATTATATATATAGGTAATTAAAGGGCCGGGCCTATATCGGGTTTGAGCCTAATAAGGCCCAAGCTCGGCTCACATTTAATTCGGGCCTATTTTTTAGGCTCAAGCTCAGACCGGCTCACTAAATGATCGGGCTCATCGGGCTTTCTGTCGGGCCGAACGAGCCGAGCTCGGGCTGGCCCAGCCCCATTGACAGTCCTATGTCCAATGAATGGCAAAATATTACAAATTAATTAACAATTAATAAACTTTAACGAGCGTAGTTTATAGGCAAATACATATTGCCTATTTAAAGTATCAGCTCTTTACATGTATTTTACTTTCAAACATTTACTTTATCACAAATATTTATTCTCAAATACATATTTGTATTTACTCTCAAATATTTAATTTTTGTTAAACACAAAATCTACCAGTTTTTCTTCCGTAGAAATATTTATATAACACTTTTTCAATTTTAGTTATAAATATTTATATATTTAACATAAATTAAATGATTCAGGATAAAATATCCATAAACAGCCAATACTTTACTCATGTAATGGATGAAAGTCATAAAAAATTAATAGTTTATGAGGCCATTTATTTTTTAAAAATTATTTAATTTATATTAAATAAATAACCTACTGATTTTTTTTGCAAGAATATTATTTTAACACTTTTTAATTTTTAATTACAAATGTTAATATATTTATCATAAATTAAATATTTGAAAATAAAATATCTGTAAAGAGCCGATACTTTAAATAGGATATGCGTATTTGCCTATAAACTACACTATTTAAAGTAAGGAGTATAGTTTATTAATTTAAGTTAAAGAGTGTAGTTTATAAGCAAACACGCATAACTTATTTAAAGTACCGGCTCTTTACAGGTATTTTATTTTAAAATATTTAATTTACAATAAATATATCAATATTTGTAATTAAAAATTAAAAGGTGTTACAATAATATTCTTGTAAAAAGAAAATCGATAGGTTATCTATTTAATATAAATTAAATTTAAAAAAAAAAGAAATGGCCTATAAAATGTTAATTTTTTATGACTTTCATCCATTACATGAGTAAAGTATTAGCTCTTTATGAGTATTTTATTCTAAATCATTTAATTTATGTTAAATACATAAATATTTGTAATTGAAATTGAAAAAATGTTATATTAATATTTCAACGGAAGAAAAACTGGTAGGTTTTGTATTTAACAAAAATTAAATATTTGAGAGTAAATACAAATCTGTATTTGAGAATAAATATTTGTGATAAAATAAATGTTTGAAAATAAAATTCATGTAAAGAGTTGGTACTTTAAATAGGCAATACGTATTTGCCTATAAACTACGCTCGTTAAAGTTTATTAATTGTTAATTAATTTGTAATACTTTGCCATTCATTGGACATGTGGCACAAAGGACAAATCAGGTACAAAATTCTAATTACACTCTCTAAAATAATATTTTAATCATTTGGACTGAATTTGTAAAGGATTAGTAACCTCAGGAGAGGTCAGTGTAATTGTTCAAACCACAGGAGAGGTAAGTGTAAATGTCAGAAATCTCAGGGGAGGTTTCTGAAATTATTCCTATATTTAAAGTACCTAATTTGATATTGTTTAATATTTTAACTTCTTGAAGAAATACACTAATGCTTTGTGTGACTGAGAGAGAAAGACAGAAAATGGAGGTAGGCAAATAGAGAACGAAAAATTGGTCGTGGTGGTGGGTAGACTTGTGGAGGGCGTCGCGGAGAGATCGATCGAGTGAGTGAGGAGAGAGATTTGTCTTTTACCTCGTGATTGGCATCGAAACAGTTGCTTTATGACGACCATGGTCCCGACGTCGTCCTGGGATTTTGAGTTGCTTTATCTTTTTTAGATTAAATATTTTTCGGAAATTTCACCCCTTATTCTACTTTTTGTTTTGATCGGCGGCAGATGCGCGTGGAATGTTATTCAGTGGAACCTCGGTCACGAGACTCCAGCTTTAGTTTGCATGAGTTGCAAATTATTATTATTTTTTAAAATTGCTACTTTTTCTAAATAAATGGAAACACTAAAATAAATCAAACTCAACTTAGTTAAAAATCTAAAACAAGAATAGTTATCAGGCAAGTGAATGTTTTCATTTGTCAAAGGAAATTCCAAAAAAAAAAAAATGGAAAAAGAAGCACATGTTTACGTGAAGTTATTTTACGGCTCATGAGATCTTTTCCTTGGTCTTCGATGGATTTTTCTTGTTTTTTTTTCGGTCAAACTCAACTCAAAGAATTGGATAAGAAGCTTAGCGGAAAATTTGGTTTTAAGCATGTATTACCACAAAAATCCAATTTCCAATGACACGTACAAGTTTCCTTTTTTTTTTTTTTTAAATCAACCCCTGGATTTTATTTATGCATCGACTTTTGTGGTTGACATTTTTGTCATTCTTCTTTAAAAAAAAAAAAATTGTGAAACCAATTTAAGCAACAGAATAACACATATATCGGATATTATAGCGAGATAAAGAGGATCTGATGAGCCCAATCGACTATAAATTATGTCATTTTTAGAAGGAAAAAATTCACTTTAAAGGAATTTAATTGGACGAGAAAGGGGATGAAATTCTTTGTTATCTCCACCTTACACCAGATCCGCAAAGCAAATTGAAACTCACACTCTCAAGCACGAAGCATGAATTTCAAATCCCGAATAAAGGCGTGGTCCATCACTATGCAGAAAGATATATCAAATCAATCCTCTCTATGAAAACTTGTTCGTTATAATGTTGCAGCATATCATGCTTTCAAGCTCTCGCCCGTTTGGATTGTTATTTTCTAGAGTTTTTATATAAAAAATATATTGCAGCGATTTAATGTATTAAGGTAAAAAGGTGATTAAAAATATATTCATAAAAAACGTGAAAAATATTTTTTTGAAGAAAAATGGCAATCCAAACAAGGGATCACTGGCATCCACCTTCTACCAAATTCTTGCAAGCAAATTGAAATTCACACTCTCAAGCATAGAGCATGAATTTCAAATTCTGAATACATCACTAAGCAGAAAAACATATCAAATTAGTCCTCTCAACGAAAATGCGCTAGTTATAAATGTTATACAGCATACCACGCCTTCAAATTCCCATCTCACAGACCGTTTGAATTGTTATTTTCTGGGATTTTTATAAAATATATATATATATATATATATTGCAGCGATTTGATGTACATAAGATATAAAGGTAATTAAAAAATATAAACATTTTTTGAAAAGAAAAAAATGTCAGTCCAAACAAGTTCTTTTAGGGATCACTGCCATGCATGACGTTCTTAGCACCCAGTTTCAATGTCCCAGATGCTTCGATCATACAAGTATCATCAACTCTAAGTAAGTGACACAGTAGACCTATTAATCATGAATCTCCCAAGTTGGTCAGGCTTCAGTTCCACTCTTGACAGGAGGAGTACGAGGATCAAATAGTATATTCCTATGACGAGGATATTAAAATAGGACGTATACCTAACAAATTCTCATTTTTTTCTCCAAAGAAGATAATGACTGCCTAACAAGTTAGGCCACCTGCACAAGTATCTGGTCTCCTCAGGGTCTTCTTAGATTCCTGATAATTTTTTTTTTTTTTTTGCTCCCTTCCATTTTCCAAACGGTTTTTTTTCTTCTACTTGTTTGCTGATTCGTCAACCAGTCATAATAGAGTCTGGAACCTTTCCTCAGCTATAGCGTTCTGGTTCTTCGACTACTAGAAATTACGTACGTTAGCTGTGTGGCTGATCATGAGCTCACGAGATTGCATAGAAAGTCCACAGCGCAATGCGAAAACGAGAGGAACAGTGTAATGCAACCAAGAGTCAAATATTCAGAAGATTCTCCGATCGTCGGAGACGACTTTCTTTCGGTGATCGATGCCCAAACTTCTCACGATAGTTTTCACACTAACCAACCATGGATGCAGAATTGCCTGTCAACTAGATATGATTACCCTCAGTACATTCCACGGGAGGGAGAAGATGCAGGTTTGATCCAATTATATATCTAGATCTGCCAATTTTTATTTTCTGCCAACATCTACTGTTCCTGATCAGTTTAAACTCCAGAATCATGATATCAAGTAGAAACAAAAACTAAAAGAAAGTTGAAGATCAGGCTTCGAACGACTGATCTCATCATCTCATCAATCGGGAGGTCATCTCATCATATGCATGTATTAACATCTTGATTGCGAGCCAAAATGTTCTATTGCTTGCTTTGTTCAAATTTCAAAGCGACCCATCAGGCCCCTTGTATAGAGCTTGTAATCGTATATACATATTTAATTTTGTAATTTGCAGTTGATTAATGAATGGGAACCCATGACAGCTAGCTATAATTACAATGAGAAGCTTTACGTTAATTAATTAACTCCGTCTGTATATGCACGCAATTCAAACTTCCAAAACCAAATTCCCAGCGCAATTGATATGCTAGTGCAAAATTCTAATATGCCAAAATCCGAGAAATTTGAAGGTTACGTTGTCTCCTAGAAATGCCTCCTTTGACTTACCCTACTATTTTGTGACGAGAAGCTATGGATTGATGGCAAATTTCTGGGTTGAGCACAACAACGCTCGGCCTCTTGGGTGATCTGCTGCTGCTGCTGCACATGTGCCGGTTGCGGGGACACTCTCCATATCTTGACCGACTTATCCAGGCTACCACTATACAGAATACAATACCCATCAGCCCCCATTGCAACCTTCTCCTCTTCAACAGCCAAGCATTTCACCGGGCCAGAATGGCCATTCAATACTGACAAACAAATATGATCACCCTCCTCCCTTTTCCAGACGCAAATATTTGTGTCAGCTGATCCAGTAAAGACTAAGTTCCCTGCTGTAGCCAAGCATAGAACAGCCAGCTTATGACCCCTCAAAATTCCACAGTGACTTAGCTTTTCACGGTCCCAAAAATTCACTAGCCCGTCTGACGAACCACAGTAGAGAATAGTAGCAGAAGGATCGACAGCCAATGCTGTTACTGCACATTCTTGCTTTAACAGAGTTTGCGAAAAGAAATGTTTTGTTCCCTTTCCTTGCAACTCTCTTCGCCATACTTTGACGCTTCCATCAGCTGATCCAGAGAAGACTAACCCATCAAATCCTGCAACGACAGTGTTTACTGCATCGTCGTGGGCTTGTATAGATTCCAAACATTTTGAATCTGATATCCTCCAAACCTTAATGGTTTTGTCCCATGACGCTGAATACAAAAGGCTCTTATCCTCGCTGAGGCTGAGAGATGAGATGGCATCAAAATGCCTGATCCAGACCACATTACGGTTTCTCCTCACCTCAACGTAATTGCTTGGTTTGATTGAGCTTTTAATACGAGCTTTCATGGTCGGTAATGTGCCAATGCGCTTGTGAATGCTAGGGTCCTTGGCAGATACTTTCCACATTCTTATTTTTCCATCTTGATGACCCGTAAATATTCTTTCACCAGCAATACTAATTGCTTTAACCAACCCACTGTTTGATTTGAATCCTGAAAATTCCTTCTGATTCTTCCACACCCTTATGCTCTTGCTATCTGATCCCGTGTACAACATGTCCCGCGTAGCTGCTAACGAATAAATGTGACCTTCTTCACGAACCAGGGACCCCATTAGACCAGTATAAGAATAACTATCACTTGCCATCTCAACATGGGAGGACCATGGGGACCCTGACAAAGGAGATACTAGGTCGGTTGGGATTTGAGATGCTAATTGATCCCATGAGGGTGCTGAACATGGAGATGATTGGTCATAAGAAGGCGTGCTGTACAGGGAGGTATTGATCTCGGAACTCAGTCGAGAATTTTGTTCGTGATTTGCTGGGGTAGCATCAGATGTGCTGCTGATGCGGGTATGGTATTCTTCTTCATCGGCATGATCAGACTGGTGCAAAATGTTGCCGAATTTTTGTCTCCGCTGGTTTTTGCTGCTTTCCGTTACCATTTGGCCGCCTCTCGAGCTTCTCATGATGTAATGATCCGTTGAAACTAAGAATCAAGAAAATATATATGTGTATGTATATGTCTTGATCGAGTATGAGAAACAAAATCAGACTTGTGGAATAAAGAGGAAAATTGGTTCCTAAGCTAACCGAAAGAAGAGATGAAGAGAGGAAAGTTAACTATACGGAAACAGAAAGAGCAAAAGAAGCTACGGCCATGAAGATACGGGGAACCGAACACATTTCCACGGGACAGATGTAGATTGATTGATATACTAATTGATACATCTTACAATCAAAGCAAAGTACAGTTTGTCAAACAAGATTGAAATATTTGAGCCAACCAACTAAAGCAGCAGTTATTTTCGCGGAAAAGGAGCTAAGGTATCTGGATTCTGAAAAGGCTGCTTTCGTGCTCTATTTATCACACAATGCGCGAGGGACTGGATAGGCAAAATGTGCATCACACAATGCGCGAGAGACTGGATAGGCAAAATGTGCATAGAGGGGGAAGAAAAATAGAAAATTACCATAGCATTTAGCTTGACCTCATTGCTAGGAGTATACTCCTACTTTCAAGGGCGGCGTTGGAAAATGATTGGTTTCAGAAAAAAAAAACCGCCTAGACTAGAAATCAATCGTCAAACACATCCAGTAACAAAGAACATTAAAAATATCTATATCTATGTGTATTCAAGAAGGGGTTTTTAGCAGAAACCCTCCGATGGTTTCTAAACTTCTCATTTTTTTTTTCTAGATTTTGTATTTATTTTAATACATAAAAAGTAGTGGGTTATAACCCACCTTATCACCAATCAAATTTAAATTTAAAATATACTCACTATCTCTTAACTCATTCTACAACCACTCCTACAAATCTTCTAATCATCATCTCACGATTTCCCCCACGTTTGCACTTATCAAAATTTTGTTAACACAGTTTGACAGTAGCTCGATTCATATTGTTGGATAAATTTGCTAATGATGATGATGAACGGTTATATCAGTCTGCTATAAAAAATAATATTTTACTAGCATGTAGTATTTGCGTACGAAATTTCAGAGGTAAATCAATTGCTTTTACTTATATTCTATATATTTTGAATGGCTTTTGAGCAAGCATAACCATACTATGCAGGTCCATCACTGTGTACAATTGGAGCTAGCAAATTGTATATTAATCACGATCTAGATTTTGCTCGATACCTGCGCAGTTAATGAGTTTCTCATTAACACTATATCAAACTATTAATATTGTTTCGTACTTTTATTGATATTTATTTCAAAAAAATTGTAGGTTTGAAAATAATACATGTGCCCGTAAGTTAGTTATGTGGTTGAGATCAAGCAATTTCACAACACCACAAGCGCTGTTGATAGCAAATTCAAAGAGAATATGGATATCTGAATATACAATCATGCCTACAGTAAGCTTAATCAATTTTAATTAATTACTGAATGAATTTTTTTAATTTATAATTATAACCTATATCTTTTTTCATTCTTATTAGGTTAAATATTTTCGAATACTTGCTTACATTTAGAGCATTAACATAGAAAATATGTTTTACGAGTTATGCAAAAATTGTGGACAACTATGTGAAGGTCATTTTTCAAAAACATTGTGTATGCATTATAATGACGCAGTTAAGACTGTTATTAGGTAATTAATTTCATGTATATTTAACTTCAATATATTTTTCTGTGTTGCATATAATATTTTATTTGTCAAACAGTTACAATGTTAACATACAAATCAGAGATTCCGGTGGTAACATGCATCTTAATCTACAAGATAGACATGCACGATTTGTATTTTGTTGTGATACTTCTTATTTCAGAGAATTACAAAGGAAAATAGAATTTTTTAATATATATTTATTTTTTATAGTACTATTTATAAACTATATAAAAAAATACACTAATTTCGTATGTTCTTAATTATCAGGAAAATGGTGATAGGTTGTTCAGTCAACGAATTAATTCATGCAAAGATCGTGCATTTTCATTTATAGTATGCATTCTACAAAATTCAACAGAGTTAATTAAATCATCAATTTTGGCTTTCGTACTAAGAGTGGATTGGTGTGAAAAGTGTTCGCACTCTCAAGTAATATTATCAAATCGAATGCTTAGTATTTGTAAGTATTTCATTTTAACAACATTCAATTACATTCATTTGTATAAATATATCATTTATTTTTTAATATAAATTTTTATTTTTTGTTCTGGATCCATCTTCTGAAAAAATACAGTTCTTGAATGATATACACATTTTATTATATTTCAAACTATTGTTAAACAGATATTACATTTTAATTTTGTTGGTTCAATTTTTCACTTTTATTTGTTCACCATTTTATTTTTTTTAATAATATTAGCACCGTGCGTAGCACGGATATTCATACTAGTATACATATAGAGAGAGAGAGAGATACAAAGAAAGAAAGGAGGAGGGAGCTCCATGCTGAGTAGTCTGTTGTCTGTACAAATGATAACTGACCTCGTAAGTAACACTTAAAATAGTAGCACTTTCGAATTTTTTTTTTTGTTTGCCCAGTTTTTGGTATGCTGGCTCTTCTTTAGAAATGTTCTTACCACTTTTAATAATATCATAGTGGGTTATTTTTTCAAATATATTTACTTACATTATTATTATAATTTTCAATACAATTTTTTATTTTCTCAATTATCTTTTTATCTCACATACATCACATTACAAAAAATGCTACAGTAAAAATATTTCAAATAATTTACAATCCAAACAAACCTTTTTGTGGAGGCATTTTGTTTCAATGCTTTTTGCAATTTTTTCCCCCAAAGCTTTTACTATTAAACAATGGTGATACTGAATTTCCTGTCAAAAGTAGATAATATAAATTCACTACAATATATAGGCCATAAGGGATGGATATTTAATTACCAGAGTTTACTTATTTTACGGCTAACAAGTTAACTACAGATGTATGCATTGAAAGTACACATAGATTAACAAATACTTTTTCTCGATCCTTAGATCTCAAATTAAGTTTCCTTTTGATAATCTAACATGTTATATTGTGTTTCATAATTTTCTCTCGTGTCTTCCACATGAAGTTCATTGCCTGGTACGTGTCCTTCCTTCCTTGAGCTAAAAAATTCACAAGCCCTTTTAATGCCTGTCTGCCTGTACCACCATCACTGACTAAAAGCTACTGACCATCATCTAGGAGTTTTAAAGAAAAAATTTGATTGTATATTTTCCATCTTGTATTAAATTCCGACACGTACAGCAAGAGATTTCCATGATTAATTGATACGTAGCCTTCAATTTTCACCTTAAAAATATGCTTGACAGTTGGCATTGTCACATCATTGACTATATTTACATTAAGTTTGTCAAAATAAGGAATAAATGAAGAAATTGCCTTTTCCTACAAGCATTTACACACCATTGGTTGTGTTATAATTTTCTACACGCTTGCTAATTCCATATGTAATTTGCAGGATCGTTGGGGCACCATTTCCATCTAATGCTACCTTCAATTTTCATTAAAAATCTATAGTTTAAAATTTTCAAATACCATTTAACTAGATTTGTTTGTGATTTCTATGGAATATGTAAATCAATAATCTGTTATAAGTCTCAGCGGTCGACTAAGGAAATATTACTAGACCTCTCGGGCAAGAAATGGGGAAAATATTGAAGAAATTTTTCATAGATATAAACATAAATATATTAAATAAGAAAACAATTTAGAGTCCAAATATATCCAATCTCATAACATAAACATAAAACTTACAGAATTGGAAGACACGGATCTAAAGTTCGATATATCTTTACCCGCTTATGTATCCATTACTGTTATGCAAGATTGGAGCTTCGAAATTTGGATTGAACGACACTAGCTACTCGTAGAGAAAAACGAAAAGGAAGAAGAGCAAATAAAAATAACATAATTTTGATAAGTATAAAGGGATACAAGAAAGAAATGATAATATGGCAATAATAACATATTAGGGTTCTCTTGGGGGGAAAAAGTTATCAAGGAAAAAAAAATAAAGGTAGGAGCTTAGCATTCATATAATTCAATGAATTTTTTGTCATTTTATGATTTTTTTTCAAAAGTAATTTTGTTCTTCTATATATGCTATTCTATGCAATTGTAGTAATTTTTTCAAGTATATCTTTATCCTATCTTCTTATACTTTTTATATTTTAGGTGTTTTTTTAGGTATTTCTACCCCTTAATTATAAGACACTTGCGCCATTTTATATGTCTCATTTTTTGACACTTTTTGCAATTATTTAAATTCTCAAGGGATATAAGTAAAGATTCAGGCAATCTTATACATGTCAGTAATATGCAAATTTATAGCTTACAGTTACATTCCTACTTTCCAACTTCAGAAAACTTTCCTTCTAAAGGAATCATCAGAATCTATACGGATGCAGCCATAAATTCAAGAATGATTATTACAGGGAAAGGAATAATTGCTAGGCATTGGACGGGAAAGATCATGAGAGCAAAGGGAGTAGTAGAAAAGAAAAAGGGAGATGCTCGAATGGAAGAAACGTTAACCATTAGAATGACACTCCAAATGGCAAGAGAAGCAGGCTGGAGGAAAATTGCAATCCTATCGGACTGCACCAAATTAGGAACAATAATGTGCAAGAATGGTCATCTAATGACTATCTTGGATGACATTGATGATTTAACACAAGGTTTTGAGTAATGCACAATTTTTTTTGTATCTAGAACAGCTAATGTAGCAAGTCATAAGTTAGCACATTTTACAACAAAACTAGTTAATGACGTAGAATGAGCAAATAATTTCCCAACTTGGCTAATTGAGGCAGTTAGGAAGAATGAGAGGGTGAATCCCTTTTTGTAATTAACTTTTGTATTTTTAAGTGTTAATATATATAATGATAAATCATTTTTTTTAAAAGAAAACTTTTCCTCGAGGTTGGCTACAAGTCTAAGGCCTGTTTGATAATATAAAAAAGTGCTGAATTTGAACTTTTTTAGACATTTAGATGTTTTGAGTGTTTGATAAATAAAAATTCATGTACTGAACTTGTTAAATAGTGCTGAATTTGTGTGTATTTTTTTCAGTACAAAAATCCTAACTGAGTGCTTAATTCTGATAAGAATCAATAGAATTATTTCAACTACCTTATCTTATCTACCAAATCTACCCTTATTTGTTAATTATGTTCAAAATTCTTATCTAATTAGACAACCTAATATTCTCTATCTAATGATTTTATATTTCTCTTTTCTCTATTTTTAATGACTTTCATATTTTTTTCATACTCCTCTTAAAATATATTTAATCTTTTTATATTAATTTGATTTAAAATTAAATATTGTCATTTTTATACCTAGCAATTTTAAGTTTATTAAATCATAGGTTCTATATCTTTTTTGAATGAAAAGATATAAGGGCGAAATTATCAAATTTAACTTATTAAGCATTCAGTCATAAATATTTATCAAATAGTATAAATAGGTTTAATATTAAAATTTAGACATTCATATATATTTTTTTTAATTTTTAAAATTCAGCAAATTAATTGTTTCAATATTCAAATTTGAGAATTCAGACTTCAGTTTTATCAAACGGAACTTAAGTCGAAAGACTCGGGGCAGAGCATAATTAGATATATCAGGGGCATTGATGTAATTCTGTAATTGTTCAAGATCGTATATACGTTCAATGCCCTAATTAGCCCCAACAAGTCAAAGAAAGACAGAGTGAAAGAAGACGACGAAGCGGCGCCGTTTAAGACTCCCCAGCTGACAGAATAAAGCATCAATTCTTATCTTTCTCCTCCCTCAACTGCTTTGCTAGTCTGCTTCACTATATGCTCGAAACCCCGCGAAACGTCCCTTCCATCTTTCAAGTTTCATCCTCCTCTCCCTGTCTTCCTTACCATCCTAAATAACTCCAATTATCAATTTCACCAAAATTCCACTATTGCTCAAGCTCTCGTCCATTGAGGTATTCTAACAATGTCATGAAACCAAAAGAAATTCAGGATAATGGTTTTTAACGACTTCATTCGACGGAGACTCGCTTCTCTACTGCAGCCGTGGTTGAGTGACGAACCGGACCTCGGCCTTAAGCTAGGGTTTCTCCGTTCCACCGGTACGGTGAAGAATCTCAACTTTAACACTTCAGTTCTCAATCAATTACTCGACGAGTCCACTTGCTACCGTTTCAAGGAAGTTGCCGTCGATGAATTAAGCCTTGGAGTTTCCTACTGGTCTTTCCCTGCCTTCATCCTCCGAGTCCGTGGCCTCCGCATAACTCTATCAGTAGGGTATGCTCCATATTCTTACGCCACTAGTGGTTGTATATTTATGCTGTTTTCTCGTTGTTGTTGTCGTCGTGCTTCGGATATGTAGACTTGTGTTTGGTTTGAACTTTGTAGGGAAGAGGAGGAGGAAGGAGGAAATGAGAGAAGGAAAAAGAAGCCGAGAGATACATCAGTGGAGGATAAGAAGAAAGTTCTTGCTGAGATTGATCCCGTGGTACTTCTGATTTTCGTTTTGTGTTTTCTTGATTGAATTGCATTGTTCTCCGGAGATGTCTTTTTCTTTTTGTCTAATGAATATGTTTTTGCTACTTCATTGTCCCTTACCTGCAACTGGAAATTTGTTTTGGACCAGTCTTCATGTATTTTCCTCCTCACTCTACTCTATCTAGTCTATACACTCGTAAAGTTTTTGAAACGAGTAAATACCATTGGATGGATAGCCAGAAAACAACAAAAGGAGCTTCAACCCTCCTGGAATTAGAAAATAACACATGAGAGTTCTTATTTTCTTGGGAGGCAATGACCTCCTTCAGATAAGAAGCTCTAGTGTAGCTCCATTTTCACACGTTATCATAGCATGAATTTCATCTATTGATCTATAATTCCTATTTTGTTTGTTGGATCATCAATAAGTTCCACAGTGCTGCATATATATTTTGAATGCATTTTCTGCCGAATACAAACTCACTCATCACATCCTAAGCTTTCTTTGGTGTGCATGTTAGTTAATTTTGTATTTCAAATCCTCATAAAGGGGAATTGACATTTCAGGGCAGTGCTTTGCATGATGCCATTGCACAGATTTCACAGATTACTGTCGGAAGTCGGAAAGATAATCTATTGACTGCCTTCCTTAGACATTGTCAGTTGCAGATAAATGAAATTCATCTTCTCCTGTTGCCTCCTAGTTGTTATGATCCAGTATCATGCTTGTTGAAGATAAAGGAGGTTGGTGTACAGTCTAAATGTAATAGACAGATATGTTTTTTTGGAGGGCTCATTAGTTCACTTTTTATCCCTTCTAGAAAGTGTTCTTTTGGCCTTGACCTTAGAGATGTTGAGCTTGGTCTACAGAGTGAAAGTAGCATCAGCTGTGTTATTTCTCCGACGGATATGTTTATTTCTTTTAAGCTAAAAGATCTTCAGATCACAGATTCTGCTCTCTGTCTTCCAGCGTTAAAATTTTCCTTTTCTCCAGCAGATATATATGTTATATCATTATTCTCTTCATTATCATGCAAAGAACCCCACTATGTTAGAACTGGTAGGCAACTATGGAGAATAGCAGCGAGCAGAATTAGCTCTCTGATTCCTATCCCTAAGCTTTCTTGGTATAGAGTTGTTATCTTTGTAAAACTCTGGTTGTACTATTTACACATTTATGAGGATATGCTTTTACTGATTGGATATCCCGTCGGTGATATAGTAAAAAAATCGTCTACTATGATGTTGTCTGATAAAACATATTCAAGATCTGTTAAGAACCATTGGGATGTAATTTCTGAATGCGAGGAGAAGCTGCCTGCAGAGGTGATTGCACAAGCACGACATATAAGCCGATACAGAGCATCAGAAAGTTCTCAAATGGTGAAGCAAAAATGTGATAAGCCACAAGTCAAGAGACTTTTGTGGAAGATTTATCAACTTCTAGCCCTTATTTGGGCTATCACTTCCCATGTCTTACACTCAGTTGGACGATTGCTCCACATACTGAGAGTTCTTAGCCATTTGGCTAATCAGCCAAAATCTGATCAACGTTCCAAGAGTGTTCCTGATGATTCTTTTCCAAAAACTTGCTTCAGTCTAAATGTTGGGAAATTCTCCATTTCAGTCTCTCCTGAAAAGAATGTTCTGTCTTCCGTCAGTGGGTTACCACTCTCAGCCCTTAGATTCTCCTTTGATGATTTAAGTTCATTTCTCATTTCTTCTGATGCTATCATCTTGACATACCTTAAGAATATTTCTGACCAGCACTTGATGTTTGCTTGTGGATGTGTAAAGGTTGTTGCTGAATCTCTTAAGGAAGATCAGTCAGGTCTTAGTAGTACTAGGTTGACAGAACATCAAAATAACAAGATTATTGAGCCACAGGAACTTTTATGGTGTGAACCTATTGAGATGATTAATAATCATGCTGATGACACTGAAGGAGCTTCTATCCCACTTCTAGAATTTCTTGTGAGAAAATTGTGGTTGAATTGGAAAATTGCTTGCTCTAGCTTTGAAGGTGATGAGTGTAAAATTCCAGAGGCTCCATGCTTTCTTTTTGAGAATAACTGTTCTTTGATTGGTCAAAGTGCCAAGAATCCTACGTATGGGAGTTGTGAAGTGTTGATGGTGGTTGGAAGATCAAACTTTGTATTGAAGACCTCATCATTTTTGTCATCAGCTGTGATCTATCTACAGATTCAGCAGGCTCTTAGGAGGATGAGTTGCAGAAATGGGACAGATGGCGATCTACATCTTAAAGCAACCTGTGAGCATTTACCTGTGGTTGATTTAAGTCCTAGATACAAGTCTGTTTTATGCCAAATTGAAACAGCAATGGTTAAACTGGTTCCACAAAAAAAATTTCAAGTTGGTATGATGATTGCTGGGCCCAGAATTAGGCTTTTGTTTGATACACAGGGGTTTCTTGGTGAAAATGCAGATTTATATTCTATAACCAAGAAAGATGAATTAACACTTGTATTTGATGTTGACGACATTAAACTTGTGGTTTCACCAAATCTTGCATCTAATTCTAAGGTATCAACTGGGTTGACAGTCATTTTTGATGGGGCACCCAGTGGTCTTAAATTAGAGGAGCCTCTAAACATTGACATTCCTAATTCAACTAATCAAATTTATTGCTGTCAAGAGGGTGTTTCACATAGTGCTTATTTGAAAGTCAATGGATTGAAAGCTTGCTTTGGTGAATTATGTAATAATCGACTCCAACAAATTGTCACATTGAGTTCAACAACTGTTCAGGCGTCCTCATCAAGGTACTTTATCATCCCTCTCCTTTTGTTCACTTCCATTTTCTGCTTGGTGCCACCTTGAAGATAGGGTTTGTTTTTAGTGCTGTAAAATTTTGCAATGGAATTACATGGGACCTTGCTGGTTGAAAATGCTTTTGGCTGATTTCTACATATCTCAGACAATTGATTCAAATTCTATAGCCTGTTTTGTACCTTGGTTAATTTCTCATGGAACTAATGTATGTGTGGTGGCATGACTATTTTTTACTCTTTTTTTTTTTTTTGGAAATTGCTCATCTTACTTTGACATTACTTTTGGAAAACAAGGAAGGACTCGAGATTTTCTTTGCTCAAGTTGAGTGAGACTTGGTACTATAGTGGTTCAAAATCACGTGGATGTGATTTAAGCATGAAAATACCAATATTAAATCTTCTTACAACTTCGTTCAGTCACAAGAGTACAAAACAAGTGAATGATGCTTGCTAAGTTTCCAAATAAAATGAAAATCTGTGATCTCTTTTCTGCATGTTGTTGGAATGCTTGTTAGGAATTGATCTGTGGGCTTAGTATCTCATCTGTTGGTTGGTGCATTAAGCATAAAAATTTTACTCGCTTATCATGCCTCTGCGTGTATTGTTCTTTTTATGGATCTGGGAGCATATTTCTGGATATGCATTCTCTGAGACTATTGTAGTGGCTAATATTTGCAGGTTCTGCAGACAGGACTCCATATCTTTCTTATATGGCTTTATATCTTGAGTTTTATATCCTTTTTCTTCTTTCACCCCCATATCGAATAGTCAAGTGGACTATAATTGATTTATATATACATATATATATGTATGTACTATGTATATATATGTTTGTATGTATACCTTTTTTTTATTCACCCTCATATGGTATGGTAATGTACTTATTTCTTTATGGTGTGTGGTATAGATAAATTTGCAGAATGCTGAATTTTTGCTACATGCATATCTGTGTTCTTTTCATTTTTGTTGAAGGTTTAATTTGGTTTTTTGCAAACCATGTTGGTAATTGGAAAAGTTTTTTAAGTAACAAAGCATCTTTCTTGAGTTCTGTATGCAAGATGCTTTGAATTGCACATTCTGCAAAGAGGCCTACCATTATCATCCCATTTTATCCTAATGGTGAAAAATTGATTGTAATGTAGCAGGAAGGAATCTTGTTCACTTGGTTCAACAATTATTGCTCTCTCTACGGCTTTGCATTGGATAGCTCCTGGGATCACTGCTGTAGTGTTTCTGGATGAGTTATCTGTTTTGGTTAAGGTGGTTTAATTCTCATTTTGATCTCTTTATCGCATTATTCATGCTACCTGGTTTTCTTAACTATGTTCCTAATGCTGCATTTATCTTTTACTGTTTTAATAGTAAGCAGTACAAAGAACCTATTTAGTCCACATCGAAACTCGAACAAGAATTGTAGCAGAGCATATCAGAGATTTGTGATCATGGCGGACTGTATGCCCATTTGTTCAAATGACTAATCTGACTCAAAGTCTCCTGGTGGTTTGCTTGAAATGGCTTAAATGACTCGTATTGGCTCATATTAAAAAGGAAAAATCAGATTGGTAGAAAACAGCTGCTAATACCTTATCCATCTGACAAGTAGTTCAGGACCGAGATTTGATGTTTCTTTGTTTTAAGGTGCAAAAACTTGTCTTAGAAATTGGAATTGTGGACTTCATTGTTGTGTGATTATGGTCAGATCGAATGTAGTTGGAGATTCTACATTTTGTTTTGGTCATGTTCAAGTTGTTTATGTGGTGCTGCATCTTTCTCTAACTTTTAGCTACAGACAGCTATTTGATTCTCTTACTTTTCCACTTACTTTTGTGGCAGGTAGTTTGCAGTTTATATTATGATGTGTCACATGCATTAACCTTCTTTGGTTCAAGTCATCACAGAAGTTGTCAAGAACTACTAAGGCCACAGGTTGCATGTGCCTCTGATGAAAATGAGGAGACATTAGTGAATAGAAAAGATCAGATTCCTTCTGCTTGTATGGATGCCATCTTTGGTTTTAGAAGCATTTGTGAACTGGAGTTCATGGATGTAGTTGTATATAATTCCAGGAAGAGCCATAACACCGAGGACCACATTATAGAATCTGATGAAATAACGAGAAGAATGCTGACTATGGCCTCCGCACTTGATTGTGGTATCCACATATCTATTCAGCTGACATGTGGAAAATTTTCTTTTGAAGATGGGATTCCAGAACTTGTTATTGACCTGTCTGGATTTCAATGTACTATAGTCAGATATCCCACAGAGATCGCAGAGTGCTCTGATCTATCTGAAGTCAGAAATCTCCTGCTTTCTGTACAATGCCTGTCTGAAGCATCATTGTCTCATTGCAAATTTGCTTTATGTTTGAGAACTTCAGAGAAACCTTTATCTGCAGCTCGTCAGAGATATGGACTTGAAGCTTCTACTTCATGCGTGTTGGAGAATCCCATTATGGAAATGAATACTAAAAGATCCAGAGATCATTCGTATCATTGGTTATCTGCAAATGTTTCCCTTGGTGAAATCAATTTGGCTGATTGTACAGTAAAGAATATGCTACTCAAAACACACAAATCCGATAAACTCAATGCATCTTTCTCTGTTGGGGATCAATTTCAGACAATCTGGTGCCAGTCTAAGGTGTATTTAGCTATTAGTGTCTCTCATATTAACCTCGTCAATCTTCCATGTATTTCTTTGGCACTTTGTCATCCACATAGTGTTATCACTCTTCACTTATCTATTACATCACATATGTATATGGATGAAATATTTGATCGATGAGAAATAATGCATGGCAGGGGGGATCTACTTTCCTTCAAATGGAAGCAGCAATGATGTTTGTTCATTGCTTGACTCTATATTGTCATCTAATAGGAGAAATTTGGCGTTATGTGCCATCTCCTGACAGAGTCATTGCTGCTCAATATGGCGAGCCTATGGTGGCCTCTAATGATAAGCCTGCACAAGATTCTCAGCAACTTCAGAAAACCAAGTGGGACAAATTGGAAGCATTCAGCATTAGTATATCAGATTTTACTCTCGCACTTCTTGCTAGAGATGAATTTGGTAACATATATCCTTGTGGTTTTATTTTTTCTGATGTTATAGACATGTTATTGACTTGTTTAATCATGTGCAGGGAGATTCCAGGAACTTCTATTTGAAACTAATGTCCATTTGAGTGCTGAAGGGCCAAAAACACTAAATAAAGTTTCTTTTGAGATTTCCAAGTTTTCCATCCTTTCTCAGTTCCTTCATGAAGCTGCAGAACACCAAGCTACGGAAATTCAAGTTCCTCATTTTTCTGCTGTTGCATGTGATGATATTTCATCATCCATTATGCTTGGAGATCCTTTAGTTATCGAAGAGCATGAGAATACAGGACAATCTGTCACTCATGATTCAAGTTTTATGAGTACTTCTGCTTTTCAACATGAACCTTTTGCTGATAATTTGCCAGATTTATGTGATAATACAGGATCCAAAAATTTGCATTCAAGTCCTCAAAGCTACATACTGAAAGAGTTATGTGCAGTAATTGCAGTTGAGTGGCCTGTCAAAAGAGATGGGACTGGTCCGCTGTACATAAATCAGCTTTGGGTTGGCAAGGGTTCTATTTCAGGTTTTGATATGGTCCTCTCTCTAAGTCAGTTACGGGTGAGGAATCACATAGCTTCATTTTGCTTTTTACTAAGATGGCCATATTACAACTGACATTTCCCGATCTTCAATAAATGCCTCCTTTTCCCATTACATTCAAACTTGCTTTTGTTCAACTATTGTTGCTAGAAGCATGGTAGAATGGCTATTTTTGAATAGAATTATCATTCAAGTAGGAATTATCCTAAAAAGATCACCCATCAAATGACCTGAAAACATCTTTAGAAAGGATGCATATACTTCAAAATACCCCTGGTTGAGTTAATTACACTCTATATCGAATCAGATAAGATAATGGGACAGTGAGGTCCTTGACCATTAAGTATCTGCCAATCTTTTATTGTTCTTTTCGAAAAATTTGTTAGAGCTTTTCTTCCTTAGTCCCTAAGTATAAGTAAGAAAAAGGAAATGGCGACTTAGTATGTCACTGAGGGACAATTCTGCTTTTGCTAATTAGCATGTTATTTGAAGATTTTAGGTGTAAGTATCCTCCTTTATGCCTGTATAACTATTGGTTATGATCATTCACTTATTTTAGCTTTTGCCACATGCATCAGATGATACTCTCTGTTGTTGAATCTTTGTCTGGAGTTTATAGTGAAGAGAAAAGTAGTAATTCGACACAAAGACGTTGGTCCCTGAAACAAGAATCTGAAGGAAGCTTCCGAGAAAAAATTCCTGATGGTATTTATTTAGCTGTTGCAGAACGTCTCCTTGTTGTCTTCTTGATTGGTATTGGCTATAATGGTTATTACCATGTGTATAGGATCAATAGTCGCAATTGAGGATGTCTATCAACACACATATATTGCGGTTGAGGAAGCAGAAAGTGGATACAACTTAGTTGGAAAAATTCATTATTCGCTTGTGGGAGAGAGGGCTCTTTTCAGGGTAAGTGATTTCTAAATTTTTTGTATTATATAGTGCAGAAGTTGGCTATTTTCCAGTTTCTTACTTAGCTTTTCAATTTGCTATAGACACTGTACTGAATCCAAAATTTTGGCACTTTACTCATGCAACTTTTCTTGCTGCATTAGTTTGTAAGTGTCCGGCATCTTTTATAAAATGTTAAATTCATGGTTTGCCATATTGAGCAACTGCAAAATCCATGATGGCTTTTTTTTTTCCGCCGTGTGAAAATTCATAGCCACCTCTGATATGGTATATTACGGATTTTGATATTCAATTGACTTCAACCATATTAAAAGCTTGTATGCGATACATTATGGGCCTGTTCTCTTCTACTTTGAAGCTGAGTATATTTTTTCTATAAGCTAAAAGCTAAGTGTAGTTGTTCAATAAGACCTTTAGTTTTTTTATTTCTTTGCCACACATATTGCCAAGTGTGGAGTGTACCTAAGGAACGATCTTTGGCAGTTAAAAACTTGGCACAGTTTGATTATGATTAGATCAGCATTTCAGAACTTTAGATCTTGTCTTCCAGCTCTCTGAACTTGGATGGTAGTGTGACTTTCAGTAGTGTTGCTGGCTTACTAGAGAATCTCTAGTTATTGCCTCTAGATTTTTAATCTCTATTGTGCACCAATAAATGCGTCTCCTCCTTTATTTTCAGTAGAAATGTATTCTTGTCCTTTTCTGAAGCTTCCTAAGAAGTTAAGCTTTTCTACAGCACTTAGAATCAGATGCTAAAACGTATTTTAGACATTCTCCTGCTGGTCACTAAACTTTCTTGTGACCAGTGAGGTTGAAAACTGACAACAGGTATTTTAGGAGGAAAAACATTTAGTCACTATATTATGAGTGACCAACTAGTATTTATAGGAGTACAAATCTAACAAACTATTTACAAAAATACCCTCACTAATTTATTATTTATAGGAATACTTATATTCTCTTAACACTCCCCCTCAAGTTGGAGCATATATATCATAAGTACCCAACTTATTACAAATACTAGGGAAGGACAGCCCGCGCGACGCGCGGGAATTTGATGCTTGTGATTTAAGATAATTAATAATTATTATTTAATATTTTGTAATATAGGAACTGAAGTATGATGATTTTATCATGTAATTTTAATAGAAAAATTATAAGTTACATAGTGAGTCAATAAAAATAATGTGCAATGAGACATCCTTATCGTTATACTATATAAGAATCCGTTGTGATCAAAAGTTATGTTTAGATTTCAACTGCAAAGATAATGGTAGTTTGAAAATGTAAGAATGTTTGAAGTGCAATTGAAAAGTATCCAAATGTGACTTCTAAAACTTATCCAAGATGATAAAACATTTTAAAGTATCAATTAGACCCTTCATCTCTCGAATCTATATATGTTCGTGAAAGATTCCTCAAGCAATGCTTCTAATTTCTCCCTCGACTTAAACTCAACCTGAATTATCAAGTCAAGTTTATCCATTAATCACTTTGCGTTCAATTTAATCTAAAATAATTTTATTTTTGACTAACTATTTATATAATTTGGTGGGTATAATACGACTTAATCACATGTTTCTTACAGAGATAATAATGCCCAAAAATGATAGATAGATAAGAAACTTAAGTGATTTTTTTCAAAATTTTGTAAAAACTATTCAGATTTGATATTTTTTGCTAGAGGCATTTCTTTATAATATCATAAATAAGTTCAAATCTGCATAATTGTTAAAGATATGAATTGAAACTATCTTGATTATAAAAAATTGGTACAAATAATATTTTCTAATTTTGAAATTGTAGAAAATGGTAACTAAAATCAGAATAAATTCCTCATATAAATTCGAATTGCAAACTATAGGTAGAAACTGCTTAATGATATTTTCCAATGTTTACTTATATAAGTATCCAATATAACATCTCTACTTAATTGATTCGTTTGAACTATAGATAATAGTTGTTTCAATCAAATCAAGAAACATTATTTATCATTGTACAACATACAATTATGAGTAAATGAATTAATACAGTGCAATCAAAATGGTGCTGCAGTTAAAGCATTTAAACTCATCAAGTTCCACTACAAATTCTTTTAGATAGCATAAAAAAACAAATTTTTAATATTTGAAACTATATAAACAGTATAATACAAGAACGGGATCATAACATAAAAAGCAAATAGAGTGCAAATGACATCTTAGTACTATGTAGCATGATTAATTTTGTTTTTTAATTTTAATGAAGTACAAAATTATAAGTTAATAAATTTTACAATCATAAAATTCCCAATTAAAATAAATACAAGCTGAATTTCAAATCATATTACATGAAAAAATAACTACTTGAACCATAACTACTGGAATGTAGTCAACAGATCCCTGGAGTCAAGAATAATAGGAGAAAGTTCATGAGAAATAAGTTATTTGACTTAAATAAAGAGATAATACCTTGGCTGAGGAGGAGAAGATGATAAAATTGCTTTTCTGATTATTTTAGAAAGTAACAATGTTATCTTAAATTGTACATTGACCAGAGACAGAATCTCTGGGATCTACTAAGAAAAAAAATACAATTAGTCAGTTTTTTGAATTAGAAGTATCAAAAGATAAACTATATGGAGTTCTTAAATAAACCAATCATCAGAAAAGAAAACTACAATCGAAGAAGACAAACTCAAAGAACTCACCTCAATTTAAAGGAAAAGCTATGCATTTTACCAAATATTTAATAGACATAATAAAATCAAAGAGGTGAAACCGAAAAAGAAGAAAGGGTATCGGCTAAACATGGGGACATAAATATGATAATGATTATTCAGATAATAATTAAGTTAATTAATTGCAATTAAAATCCAATTATATAAACATCCAATTAATTCCTTAACAGATGAGAAATGTTTCAGGAAATTGAAAGGTTTGGATGTTAGTATAATAAATGATTAAAAGGACTTTTATGTAATTCTATCAAAATACAAGCTTTATTCAGTTGTACTTGATACTCAACTTGGTTTCAAACATTGTAACATACCAAATATGCCCCTAACCTTAAATGTTTGAAAGATTATATAAGTAATTATAGTGAAATTAAAGCTATAATGACTCGTACTCAGTATTCCAATTACTCTTCAAATACTCTCACATTCCCAAAATAGCCCCACCCCTGCGGTTGAAATCTAATCTTAAACTCATTCTTATATAGTATAAGGATATCTCACCCTAAAACCCCCTAAACTCTTGGTAAATAATTGATCTACAGACGGTACATGAGATGTCTTAATAATTCCGTTAAACAATTTCTCTCGAATGAAATGACAATCAACTTCAATATATTTTGTCCTTTCATGAAACACTGGATTAGAAGCAATATGAACAGCCGTCTAATTATCACATGCTAAATTCATTGGCTGTTTATGCTCAAACCCAATTTCAAGTAACATGCTTTTCAACCAAACCAACTCATATACAGTGAGTCATAGCGCGGTATTTCGATTCTGCACTTGATGTGAAGACAACTGTTTGTTTTTTAGTCTTCCATGACACTAAATTACCACCAACGAACACACAATATCCTGTGGTCGATTTTCGATCTGAGGCAGAACTAGTCCAATCTGCATCACTATATCCTTCAATATCAGTGTGTCCATGATTTTGATACAACAATCCTTTTCCAATAGCACTCTTAAGATACCTGAGAATCCGTATAACAGCATCCCAATGACTATTACGAGGGGTATTAAGAAATTGACTCACAAAACTTATTGCAAATGAAATTTCAGGTCTCGTTACAGTGAGATAATTTAATTTACCCACAAGTTTTCGACATTGTCTAGAATCATCTAGTAATGCACTTTGATCTTCTACTAATTTCACTTTAGGATCCATTGGAGTATCCACGGGTTGGCAATTTAACATCCCAACTTCACTCAGCATATTGAGTACATATTTTCTTTGACATAAATAAATTTTATATTTAGACCGAGCTATCTCAATACCCAGAAAATACTGTAGATGATCTAAATTCTTTGTCTAAAAGTTTGCCTGCAGATTGGATTTAAGTTTCTGGATCCCCACAACATCACCTGTAATCACAATATCATCTACATAAACAACTAATAAAATTTTATCAGCATTAGAGTGCCGATAAAATATAGAGTGATCTACTTCACATCCTGTCATACCGAACTCCATGACAACACTATTAAACCGACCAAATCAAGTCTTCGGAGACTGTTTCAATCCATATAAGGATTTTTTCAAAGGACAAATCAATCGCGAATTCTCCTCCTGAACAACAAATTTAAGAGGTTGTTCCATATATACCTCTTCTTCCAAATCTCCATGCAGAAATGCATTTTTCACATCTAACTGATGCAATGGCCAATTATAAGTTGCTGCCAAAGAGATAAGAAGACAAACAGAGGGAATCTTTGCAACAGGAGAAAATGTTTCTAAGTAATCAATTCCATACACCTGAATAAATCCCTTAATTACACGATGAGCCTTCAATCTATCAATAGAATCATTAGGTTGTACTTTTATAGTGTACACCCATTTACAGCCAACAACCAGCTTACCAGAAGGAAGAAGGACAAGATCCCAAATATCATTTTTCTCCAAAGCAGACATCTCTTCTTGCATAGCTAATCTCCAACCAAGATGATTAAGAGCATGGGTAATAGACTTAGGAATGGAGACAGAATCAAGGGAAGCAACAAAAGAAGAATATGACATAGAGAGACGAGAATAAGAAACAAAATTAGAAATAGGATGAAAAGTGCAATGCCTCTTATCTTTGCATAAAGCAATAGGAAGATCTAACTCTGAGGAGAGCGTCATATCTGGATTTGAAGATTGAGAGTTAATTGGTGAAGTGCGTGGCATATCAGGAGCTTTCTCAACCATAGAACGACGAGAATAAACTTGAAGATTAGGACGAGATAATCGATCTAGTGAATCTGGTGGACTAGATAACTTGGGTAATAAAGAAAAAGTGATTGATAAAACAGGAGAGGAAAAAGAGGGACACTGGGTCTAACTCACAAGGCATACCGTGTTTCATAAAATATGGAATGGATTCAAAGAAAGTAACATCAGCACAAATAAAAGATCGATTTAAAATTGGACTGTAACATCTGTACTCTTTTTGCGCTCGTGCGTATCTTAAGAAAATACACTTAATGGCACGAGGATCTAATTTATCCACCCCAGGAGCAAGCTGATGAACAAAGCACACACATCCAAAAATGCGAGGAGGTAATTTAAATACAGGTTCATAAGAAAAAAGAATGAAGTGAGGTAATTGACCTCCAAGAATATTAGATGGCATGCGATTAATTAAATAACATGCAGTTAGAACTGCATCACTCCAAAATTGTTTGGACACATTCATGTGCAACAAAAGTGTTCGAGCAACCTCGATTAAATATCCAATTTTTCTTTCAGCAATTCCATTCTATTGTGGAGTGTGAGAACAAGAGGACTGATGAAGAATACCAGACTTAGTCATAAAGGTATTAAATGGAGTGAAAAAATATTCCTTCGCATTATCACGGCGAAGTATACGTACAGGCACACCAAATTGATTCTTTATTTCTGTAACAAATGCATAAAAAATGGAATATAGTTTTGAATGATCTTTCATTAAATAAAGCCACGTAACTCTGGAAAAATCATCAACAAAGATTACAAAATATTTAAAATCGAACTTTGAAGTGACTCGACTAGAACCCCAAACATTAGAATGAACTAACAAAAAGGATTCAGAAACCCATTTATTGACTTTAGGAGCAAAAGAAACACGATGATGCTTTCCTAACTGACAAGACTCACATTCTATCGAAGACAACTGACTCAAAGTAGGAACTAGCTTTTTCAAATTTTGTAGAGACGGATGACCCAAACGACAGTGAATTTCAAGAGGAGAAACAGTAGCAGGACACGCAATCAGACCATTGGAGTTGAGAAAATAAAGACCATTATGTTCATGCCCTCAATCAATCGTTCTTTTTGTCTTCAAATCCTGAATGACAACAGAATCAAGAGAAAAAGTAACTGAACACTGTAGAGATTTAGTGAGTTTACTAACAGACATTAGATTAAAGGGCAAACTGGGTACGTAACAGAAGACAGCGGAAGAGATGGGTTAATTTCTACAGTGCCTAGTCCTTTAACTTTAGTGATAGATCCATCAGCTAAAGTAACATGAGGAAAGATAGACTCTTGAAAGTTAGAAAAATTTTTAGAGGTACCTGACATATGATCAGTAGCTCCGGAGTCAATAATCCATGAGTCATTACCTTTTTGTGCTAAAGAAGCTGAGGGAAGAGATACGTGATTTGTAACTTGATACTGTAGGAATTTAATATAATCTTCTTCGAATATGGTAATAGTCTTCTAGGACCCTTGTGTTGAAGAACTTGATTCAGTTTGGTCAGTGATAACCGCATTAGCAAACCGAGGAGGTTTTTCAATTAAATCCCAACAAGTATCACGATTGTGATTCTTCAAACCACAATGAGTGCACTCACGGGTGCCTTGATGTCCACGACCTCCTCTACTTCTGACACTTTTTGATAAGATTTTAGCCATTGCGAATAGCACTTCAAACCAAACAAAGGGTCAAAACTCGAGATGAACCGTGCGTCGTGAACAGTAACACTGTAAATAGTGCTGCGATGAACAGTGTGCACGTGAACAGTATTTGTGCTAGATGTTTAACCTTAACCCTAGGGCTTTAACTCTGATACCATAACAACAGGTATTTTAGGAGGAAATACATCTAGTCGTCATATTATGAGTGACTAACTAGTATTTATAGGAGTACAAACCTAACAAGCTATTTACAAAAATACCTTTACTAATTTATTATCTACAGGAATACTTATATTCTCTTAACAAAAACAATCAACCAATGGGCCTAACTATTGTTATGTCTTATTGTGTCTCAAATGGCCAGCATAGATTCAGTACGTTTGTCAAGAAGTTTCTCTGAATCGTGTTGCAATGTTGCTTGTCAAATTTGTGCTAGGTGAAGCATCAGAATCCTGGGAGATGGAAGCCACGAGCTCAATCATTTTCCTTGATCTCATTGTATGCTAAAAATGCCTCTGGGGAGCCATTGAGATTGAACGGTCGGCCAAGATCGGATTTTGTTGATGTTTCAGGCACTACTGATAGTTCATGGGCCCTTTGGTCTATGCTTCCTTATGGATCTCAGTCTGATGATGGCAATTTTGAGTGGGAACATTATAGCATTCCTGCTAAAAACACAATTTACCTTGTGAACAATAAGAATAATCGATCAGTAGCTTTCATTGATGGAGTTCTTGAATTTGTCAGCAAGCCTGGGAATCCCTTTAAGTGCAAAGTGTTTTCGGACTTGCTTCCATTTGGTAATAATCTGTTCCAGGAAAGCTGTTCAGTGGGTGCGCCTGGTACTGTTCTTGAATATGGTTCAAAAATAAATGATGACAGAGAGTTGAAGAGTGCTGGAAAGTTGCAGGAGATTACAATTGTAATAGACAAGGCTACATTGACAGTAGTTCATGAACTCTCAGATACTGTGGAAAAGTTTCCACTCCTCCAAGGATCTTTAAGTCCCACTGAAATCATTGTGCAGATGTCAAACACCAAAGTTAGGTTTATGAGCAGCCTAGAGATTATGCTGCATCACTTTGATGCCCAGAGAAACATATGGTGAGGATTCTGTTGCAAAGCAACATGATCATTTAGCTTTCCCAGTACTTGCAAAAAATCTTCTTATGACACCGACTTTTGTTGCAGGAGAGAACTAGTGAATCCACTTGAAATTTGCCTCTTCTTCCGTTATCGGTTTCTAATTCAGGGTTCAGAAAATGTTTTGTCTGGGGTGCCTGGTCATTTGTATATCAGAATTAAAGAAGTGAGTTTTTTGATTGCTCATTTGATGTCCTCCTATTTTTCTTATTTTGTTTTAATGATTTAATTGTGGCTTTGGTAGTTAAATATATCAATAAGTGAGCTATCACTGGACGTCCTTCTGTTTGTCATTGGAAATCTAAAGCTGGCTGGTCCTTTTGCTGTAAGAAGTTCCATGATTTTAGCCAATTGCTGCAAGGTCTGGATCCTTTCCCTACCCGTACTTTATATGACACTAGTGTGCCTTGAACACAACAATGTGGCTGCAACTAATAAAAAAAATATCTGTAAAATTTTTAGAGTATATATGTTGAAATCATTTTCAGTAGAATTGGTTTTATATTTTGACAATAGATATGTAGAAAATTCACTAAAATAAAATGTATAAATAGATAGGTATTTGGTAGTAATCCATAAACCATAACTGCTAGTTGCAATAAAAATTAAGGTTTACTAAATAAGTTGAAAAATAGAATAATTAGAAATACATGTTACTTGGTAGAAAGACATAGTGATAGTGGGTAGTTATCAAGGGTAGTTTGGGAAAAAAAATATAGTGACAGAATTTTGTTTACACCAAACCCCCCTCTCCCTTTATATATGGTATAGATATAGATATCTACTTAAAAAATTCGAAAAAGAACAAAAAGGCATCACTTGTATTGCTGAACTTCTTCTTTTTGAAGTTATTGCTTTTGGTTTTCATTATTGAACCTATCATCTTTTAACAATGTTAACATTTTTTCTGGATTAGCATGTCTTTGCCTAATGCATGCCTTTTTTTCCTTTTGCTGGAAAGAGAAAGAAGGGGGGTGGGGGTGGGGGTGGGGAAGGGGGTTGGCACTTTGTATAATAGTTTGGTTACTCTGGAGTAAATTCTGTAACAGTCTGGTTTTAATTCATTCCTTCCAAAAGTAAGTTAATTGATAAAAAAAAGATAATGGCCACAATTATCCTAGGCAGAGCAGCAAAGCAAAAGAAATCTTAACAACTGATCATGCAGCTTTTAAGATATGATAAAAGGACTTTTCATTAGTGGAAAGAAAAAAGGGTCAGATTCATTTCTCTTGGTAATTAAGCTGATAATGAGCTTTTCTAGAACTGGATGCAGTGTGAAGTTATTTGGGCATAATGTTAAAAAGTTGTTATCTCATTGAATGGAACACTACCCAGACCTTGACTGTTCATGGTTTGTTAGCACCTTTGGAATCAAACCTGAAATATTGCTGCTAGCTTGGCTTCTATACATTAGATTTTGGCATGAACCAAGTAAGGGACCAGAAGTTCTTTATTGCAAGCTAAACAAGATATAGGCTATGAAGTTTTCTTATATTCTCCACTCCTAGCATAATTTGGTTGTGGGTTCGATCGTCTATAGTCAAATCTTTTGTTATCAAGATTTGCTGCCCCACCTTTCTATAGTAGTGTTGTTTCTTTAGGTGATTAGTGCTCATTGTTCTAGAATATTAGAACAGTGTGAATTTGTTGCTTAGTTTTTATGAGGCAAATATCACATTCTTGATAAATAATGGTCTAAATTCAGTTGAGTGCAATTTGCATCTCATTGGTGTATATTTTTCTAATGGTCAATTTATAACTCCAAAGTCACAGATAACATACAAACAAGGTACCACATATGATGCAGCAAGTGCTTGATGTATGAATGCATACTATTGGTTTGATGTTATCACTGTAATTATCATGTCATTCTGCATTTTGAATAAATCTGTTTGTGGTCCATTTCGTTGCTGGATTATGAGACTGTCATTCAAACTGTATCACAATGCAAGGAGTTCTCGACATCCTTTTCCAAGGCTGGTTCTGTCAAATATGTGAGTTTGGTGTTGTCCGTATGCAGGTTGAGAACAAGTCGGGCTTGACCCTTCTATGTCAGTTCTTTGATAACCAGAATGTTTTAGTAGCTGGAAGACAATCCAGCACCATTTTTCTTAGGTACTTCCACCAGAACTTCTCTTCCTGTAATTGAAAATTCTAGACAGTTTGTGCATCTGATATGACAGTCATTCTCATGAATCACTTTCCCATGTGAAGCCTTAGCTCAGCAGTGGGTGAATCTATTTAAGTTAGAGAGTATATACTATAATTACCAAGCCTAAATCGTCACGGAGACATTTGGTCAGTGGTTTCTAAGTATACTTTCACAATGACTAGTGTGAAAACCATAAAAGCTTAATCTAGAGGATTTAATTGGCTTTGTTGGACTAAGAGAATCGCACATATCTGAGTGCAATTAGTTGTATACTTTAAAATTAGTTGAGATGATTGATGGAATGAGATGCTTCTGGTTTGTAAATGATGACATGCATTATTGACTTTGATTAGTATGGAGATGCATTATTCTGAGATCAATTCTGTCTTTTTTGAGTGCTTTTATTGCTAATTATCTGTCAGCCTATCCACTTAGCCGGATTTATGTTATGATGACTACACATATTAAGTATTTCTACTATCTTTTGGCAGATGTCTTGTTTATCTGAATTCTTTGAGTGGTCTTATCCAGTCAAATGCTTCTCTATTAGATTCAATAAATATGAACCCATAAAAATATGCTTTGCAGGCACTTAGCTTTAGCAAATCGACCTCCTGAGGCATCTTTCTTCTCAATCCAGCTTGCAGACAAAGGAACCTTTGCTACTTCTTTGATGCATCTTTCACTTTCAGAAGCTAGGGCTTTTGCTTGGAGAACACGCATAGTGTCATCTCATGGTAAAAGTAACCCTTTTTCTGCTGCAAACTAGAGTAAATTGTTGGAGTATGGGCACATATTTCTGCTGAAATGGAACGTGAAATTGTTGGAGTAAAAGTGACCCTTTTTCTGCTGCATACTAGAGTAAATTGTTAAAACTACTGCATTATATAGGACTTTTTTCCGAGTAGCTGCATTAATTGCCTTTTGAGGAAAAGCTCTAGACTTCTGAATTTGAAGCCCTTGTGGATGTCTGCATTAAGATTAGAATTTTTCTATGCCAAAAAAGGGAACATTCGGTACCACAGAGATTTTATGAAAGATGCTATGGCTGTGTTGATGTTCACTTTGTTTGCCAGTGCTGCCCTGGTAAATCAGGTATAAAAAGATTTTTGATGCAAATGTCTTGTAGTGCAACACATGCACCATAGAAATCAGAAGGAGAAGAATATTGCTGTTAATTTATTGTAAGGACTTGTTCGTGCAAAACATTACGTAAATTTTGTGATGATTCTGGGTCTGTACATGTCAATATATCTGTTGAATTGATGTTTGATGGAATGTATCTAGACCAGCCAGTAACTGTTATCACGGAAGATTTTGGAGGTAGGACAAGGAATAGGTTCAAACCAAAGTTGGCCTCTCTGGAATTGAGACACAATCTTAATGTGATGTTATGCAAAGTTGGTCTAAACTTAGCATCAGCTCTGTCCTTGACAGATTGAGGTTTTTAAATTATATCTATTTCATTGCACGCAATGTTCAGTAGGGGCTGGTATATGAAGTATAATTTGTTGGAAGCATATGGTCAATGGCTCCATTCCCATTTTTCATTTCTTTGTTGAAGATAGGTTCAGAATGAGGGAAAGATACTCTTAAAGTTTATTTGCATTGCATTGGGACAATTGTGTGCTCTAAACTTCTGTGGAAAATTAAAAAATAAGCAGCAACTAAAACCAGGATTTTTTGATAAGTTTGTACTTGTTTAAGCTTTTGAATACATTTTTATGCAGTAAGATCACCACAGGCTGTAGAAAGTTGAACAGAGTTTATTAATATTGCTGTTTCATCGCTTGATCTTTTGTATTGCTATTATTGTCCTTAATTTGGAGTCAGCCTGTAAAGAATATGCGGTGTGGTGAAGCTTGATTTTGCTAGCTTAGATGTAGTGATGATAATATTGTATCGCTGGTTGCCATAAATCAAACAGTGATAGCTGGGTGATTTATTTTTATTTTTCTTTTCTTTTCCTTTTTTTTCTTTGGAGGGGGTGTTTGGTTCAAGATTCCATTCTCCTTGGCTGCGGAAATTTTGAGTTTGGTAAAGTAGAACAAATTAACTTGCTCTTCTTTCTTCGTCATTGTCTATCAGAATCAAAGACTTCTCCAGGTCCATTTATCGTTGTTGAAGTTTCACAAACGACTGAGGTATTATTCTAGACCATTGTGCTAGTGGTGAAGCTACTGCATGTTTTTGAACATATGCGTATTTTGTTCATAGTGTTTCCTCGGGTGTTTTAGGATGGTTTGTCAATCATCGTTTCTCCTTTATTGAGGATACACAATGAAACTGATTTCTCAATGGAGCTCCGTTTTCGACGACCAAAAGAAGAGGAAAATGAGTTTGCTTCTTTAATTCTAGATGCTGGGGATTCTGTTGATGATTCTATGGCTACTTTCAGTGGAGTTAGTTTGTCAGGTGGTCCGAAGAAGGCATTGATGTCCTTAACTGTTGGTATGAATTATGCTCTTTTGCCCTTCCTTCTCTTGGATTTTTTGTTCTGGTCAAAATAACAAAATATTTAGTTAAGGAAAATTTCCTGATTACAAGTAAATAACTGGGTAACTGATTAGGGAAGATTCAAAACATAAATATACTATAATTAGTTTGGGAGTGTTTAACTATTTTCCTGTGAGATGACAACCATATAGGGTGAACTGTGAATCATAGTGAATAGCTGTGGGATGTTGAAAAATTGCCAAATATGAGAATTATTATCTCATAGAATTCTACATGCTTCCGGTAGCCGTTTTATTCTTGTATGCATAAGACATCTAAAATAAGGAACGGCATCTTTCCTCTTTGAATTTATGATGAAATGGCTATCATCTATCAGCTATATTAGAGTGTGTTGCCACACTTTTCCTTCTTCAGTGGTAATCTGCATTTTTTCTGCTGTCAGGTGAAAAGCTATTTTCCATGAATGTACTTCAGCATATGGATATGCTGTGCTTTTGTTGTTGTTCTTTGGTAAAATAACCACTAGGTAGTTTATCCAGATAAAATCGCCTTCAGATGTTGTACTTTTGCATATACTTGATAAGGGGCAAACTAGGTCTTTGTACTTTTCCCAATTTTTTTTTGTGTATTTACTCGTGTAGTCTTCGTGCTAAGAAACCAAGTAAAAAAAAAGGATGAAGGGCAAAGGTTACACTTTAAGAAATAAAGATAGGAAACTTATATTTTTGAGAATGAGACTTGGAAGAAACTCACATGATTGCACCTCCATTTGCAGGAAATTTTTTATTCTCTTTTAGACCTCAAGTAACAGATGACTTGCTGAATTTCAAGTTATCTTCAGTGGAGTGGTCTAATGATCTTAGAGGTGGGAAGCCTGTGCCCTTGTCTGGGCTATTTGAGAAATTAAGTTACCAAGTCCGGACAGCATTTGCTGTCGAATCAGTGAAAAGTACTTTAGGAACCGCACGTTGTGCTTTTAGATCAGAGGGTGGACATGTTGCTAATATCTATTTTTTGATCCAAAGTGTTGCAAGAGATGTACCCATTATCCAGCCTGACAATTTAGGATATTCTCCAGGCAATAGGAATGTGCCTATTGCTTTGCAAGAGCAGAAGGAAATCTTTCTCCTTCCTACTGTTCATGTCTCTAATTTGTTAGAGACAGAGATACACGTACATCTGACTGATGCAGGTACTAGCATAACTATTTTCTAGCTTAGTTAGTCCACAATTTCTTTTTTCTCAACAGACTCTTTTTCAGACATACGGGCGAAGGTCGATTATGACAACATATGCTCTCAGGCTACTATACCATGTGGATCAGCTGTAAATTTATATGCCAACCCTGCTAATATATTCTTTACTGTTACTTTGACTTCATTCGGTTCAAGCTGCAAACCAGTCAATGGTAACAGGTGGGTTAAAAAGTTACGAAAGTCTAACACTAATGCCCATCAATTGGACGTTGAGTTGGATTTTGGTGGCGGAAAATATTTTGCATTCTTAAGATTGTCTCGGGGGCAAAGAGGCATATTGGAGGTAATTATGCAGCAATAACATTTTTGTTGGGAAACTCAGTTAGAATTTTGATCTCCTATGGTTTTTTGCAGGCTGCTGTCTACACTTCATATACATTAGGAAATGATACCCAATTTTCCCTGTATTGCTTTGCAGGCAACCTTAAGCCTCTGTCTAGGTAGTTATATGACTTGTTACTGTATTTACTATGCCTTTTCATTCAGTGAAGGGTTTGTGCTTGTCCTTAATTGTGTGTGATCTGCAGAGATGAAGTTAAACAACTTGGCTCAGGATTTCCTCCAGAGCTAGGAGCATATTTGCCCCCAAACTCGAGAAGATCATGGTTTATGAAGTAACCACTCCCTTTTTCCTCTTTCTTTCTTTAGTTTTGGTTTTTGAAGATGAGGTGGTTGATTTATTTGCTCGTTTGAACTCAAGCAAAACTATAATAAAATTTATGTCAGGGATGCTTGAAACTTATTCTACAGGTAATTGAAGATGTAATTGGTATCATTAGGTAATTGCATCAACAGTTGGCCTGATGTATCTTTGATTCTAATTCTAGACACCACAAGCTGCGAATTAAATTGGACAACGAGCAAGCATCAGAAGCACTTCTGAACTTGGATGCTTTGTCAGGCCTTACAGAGATAGACCTGGAAGTTGAAGAAAATTCTGGAATTAAAAATGTTACAAGATTGGGGATCTCTTTAAACCCATCTTTGAATAAAATAGTCCCGTCACAGTTGGTATCTATGAGTCCCCGACACATTGTGTTGAACGAATCACAAGAATTCATCCACGTTCGTCAATGTTATCTGGAGGTTTGCCATGTTTATATTGTTGTGTACCTTCTCATGTTGTGCGGGTGCAAATAAATTGAACTTATATTCTGAGTTTTTCCTTTTTTGTTGACAAGGATGACATGCAAGGGATAATTACGATTAACAGTAAACACAGAGCAGCCTTAACATTGCAGAAGAGACCAAGAAGAAAGGGTGAAACTACTATATTTGAGAATCTTCTCAGAAAGCATTCAAAAACTCTTGATGATTCACTCCTGTTTATTCAGTTCCGGCCAAATGATGCCAGCTTTGGTTGGTCAGGACCAGTGTGTGTTGCTTCCCTTGGCCAATTTTTTCTGAAATTCAGGCGCTTCTCAGAATATCCTGCAAGGAATTCAGATTACATGACATCACACGAACCCAGCTCATTTAAATTCGCAGCTGTGCATGTGGTAGAAGAAGATTCCGCCCTTGTCTTGCACTTTCACAGCCCACCCAATGCAGACCTTCCTTATAGGATTGAGAACTGCTTGCACGATACTTCTATAACATACTATCAAAAGGTTGAGTGTGAGGCCTCCCACTTATCTTGCATAATTCAAGTGTTGTATGGCGCATTTTAAATCATTTGTTTATTTTCCAGGGTTCATTGGAGCTTGAAACTTTAAGATCTGGATGCTGTGTAGACTATGCCTGGGATGATCTATCTCTTCCTCATAAGCTGGTTGTCCAAATAGACGGTAGCTGTTTCTGTGTTAATCGAACTTTTGGTTTGTTAAACTAGCTGATGTAGCTACGCAGATCGACAAATCTGCTTGCCATTATGCCTGCAAAAAGTTTTTGAGTTATGGAAGGTTTAAGTCTTTCTGGATGTTTGAATTAGGGGAAGATCTTTCTTCATTGCTTTGTTGAATATGTGTTGCAATAGCTGTTCTTCAATCACATGCTTATTTTTCAAAGATTTACTTTATTCATAGCTGCTCATGGAAATACAATATAACCTGTGTCCCCTTATCTGGTTTGTATGTGGATTTTGACTTTAGTGCACAAATTTATCCTATCGTTTGTAAGTCCTCTAACTTGGTAAAAAATGTGAGATTGCTATTAGGCCATTGCGCTTTTGATTTGGGTGTATTACAGGTGGTCTTTGCTTTATGCTCCTTGTGTGCTCATTAGAACTTTAGCATGGAATAGTAAATCTATCGTTTGATAGGTACCATGACTAGAGACTCTATCATTTTGATTAATGAGATGTAGTGTTGTTGATTGCTTTACGCTCCTCCATAAGTGCTGATCTGAACTTTGTCTTGGGATACGTAATTCATTTTTTTGAGGTATAAACACACTGTCGGTTTGTGGGGGTGTACTGGTTCTTTGACTAGGCTTGCTTCAAGACTTCGGAGAAACATGCTACTGTGGCCTACCTTTTGTCTTAGTGCATTTGTTAGTCTAATAACAAACAGACATTTTGAGAATCCCAATTCTCCAATTAAGTATTGGACCCTAGATGTCAAGATGCCTAAGCTTTTTGGTAAAGTTAGGGCCTATTCTTTCCAAGCTTTGGTTTGTCAAATATGTAATTCAGTAGCTTCAGTTTATCCAATGTCTGGTGAATTACTTGTGGATACTAACCTAGATGTCCCTTGCATCGGTATTCATTTAGTCTCAATTCTTGCAGATGTGCATCTATTGAAGGAAATCAGTATGGATAAAGTGCGTGCATGGAAACCCTTTTACAGAGCGAAACAACAAATGAGGATGGGGATTCAATTTCTGCTGGATATGAAGCCTGGAGAGAAGAACAGGAACAATGATGGTCAATTGATCAACACAAGGACAGTGAAGTTGGGTTATGAAGTATATGCAGAAGGCCTTACCCGAGTTCTGAGAATATGTGAATTTTCTGATGGGCATAAGGGCAATAATATGTTCTACTCCAGCTCAAAGATGCGACTCAGAATCTCTCATTTTGCATTTCAGTTGCTGGAGTATACCGATAAGGTCAATCCGCTTTATGAAGTGCTTTTTAAGCATGTGCTATTCAATCTGTCGCTGTTGAATTATCTTTAACTTGTTCATTCTTGTATGGAGATATATACTGTATTTTATGTTTCTGAACAAAATACCTGGTGATGCTATTGCATTATCTATCTTTTCATTGGCATTTCATGGAAATTATCCATTCAAGAGGCTAATACATTATCCAAGTAAGAGCCAGTGAGTATTAATGTATCTTAATCATAAATTTCTGCAAGAAGATTATTACACACTGGCAGTGGCAAGCATCCATGGTGATTCTGTAGAATGTAATATTGAAATTATATTTTAGTAATAAGTATTCTCATTAATATGCAAATCGTCATGCATGAGTGTGCCCTGTTCCTATAGAGTATTAGTTTGGGAAACCAACTTTTTTCTTCTCACACCCCTCCCCACACCCTTCCCATCCCCAACTGCAAGGCACAAGATTCGAACCCTGAACTTAACAGCAGGGAAGGCTCTAAGAGCCCTCCCCTGGCCATTGGGCCGATCCTAGTAGTTTTTTTGGGAAACCAACTTGATTGCTACCTAATGATAATTTTCATCCAATTTGAAATTGTTGAAATAGGTACATTCAAACTCATCAGTAAGTGCATTGATAAAAAAGGGTTCTCTGGAACAAAGCGCTACTTTGGTGATCTAGGGAAAACAGTAAGATTTTTTCTTTTCTGACTATCTAATTGAGATGCATCTTTTAGTTGCAAAAAGAGTCTTATAGCATGTCTGGTTACAGTTAAAAGTAGCTGGATCAAATATACTATTCGCCGCCGTGACAGAAGTATCAGACTCGGTTTTGAAGGGTGCTGAAACAAGTGGTTTCAATGGAATGGTAGTATTCATCTCTATTTCATTATGAGTAGAGTACTATTTTCTTTAGCTTTAAACATGATCTCTGTGATATCCTTGGCTTTCCACAGATGCGTGGGTTTCGCCAAGGAATTTTAAAGTTGGCAATGGAGCCATCTCTGTTAGGGACTGCTTTTATGGAAGGTGGGCCAGATAGGAAAATTAAGCTTGATCGAGCTCCTGGGGTTGACGAGGTAACTGAAGCACTATAGGGTCCCATGTCTACCTCTCTCAAGTCCAAATTATCAATTTTGACTAATGGAGGAAAATAAAATTTTTAATTAAGAAAAGGTTTTAGATTGCTTCATATCTTCATTTACAATTGTTATTTTCTGTGGGTAATCTTTTGTAACTGGGATGTATTATACAGTTATACATTGAAGGCTACTTGCAAGCTCTGTTGGATGCTTTATATAATCAAGAATACCTCAGAGTGAGAGTTACGGACAATCAGGTATTTCTACATTGCATATTATCTCTTTAGTTAATTTTGTGGTAACTTCAGGCAATACATCATCTACGTACATTTCCATCAACCTGTAAAAGAACAATTTGGTAGGCATGATGGGTAATATATACATAAAAGTGGGAATTTGGGAATTTACTTATGTTGGTGCATTTGACATGTATAGTATTTACCTTCTTTGTGCTTTTGCTTCCAGGTCATTCTGAAGAACCTGCCTCCTAATAGTTCTCTTATAAATGAAATTGTCGAACGTGTGAAAGGCTTTCTTGTGAGCAAAGGATTGTTGAAGGGAGATTCTTCAACAACTTCTCATTCTTTGCGGCATATTCGAGGGGAGAGTGTAAGTCAATCCTACTCTAATTACTAATTTTACAGGGGGCGTCAAGCATTTAATAATAGAGTATGTGCTTAGTGTTTACCTGCTTGCGTAGGCCTTTGTTACATGTTTTTAACTGTTCATTGCAGTCACATATGCTGGAGAGCTCTTTATTGTATTTGCAAAAATAAATTAATTGCGTCTGCTTTTCTTTTTGGTGGGGATCAGGGAGAGCTAGATTACCTTTATGGAGGTAAAGAAGAACAGATGGGGAAGATGATCAAAAATATTGTTTAAGCATGACTGATGAATTTTGTGCATTGCTAAAGCACATTTTTTGTATGTCTTGCTAGTTTTCTGTGTTAGATAACTTTACAATACCAAAATTGTAATTCCACGACTTAATTACCAAGTTTGTTCATTTCATCTGGAAATGGTTTCCAACAAAACAATGAGAGACACACATACTTGCACATATTCACGTGTATATGCATAGCCAAATTTTCAATAATGTAGCAGAATTGAGATGATCTATCTCTAAAGTGGGGGCATATCTTGAACACATAGAGCACGACTCACGCTAGACTCAGGATTGTTCAAGACAATGAGCACGATTCAAAACAATGATACATACATGCACACCCATTCGCAAAACACGTATCCCACCTTTCACGTGCGAGTAAATTTGTAACTTTTAATCCTATTCAACTGTTGAGATCAGGATTCTCTGAGATAAAATGAATTTAGCTGAAAGTTGAAATGAAAATGAAACTCAAGTGTGGAAGGTAATATGCTGACTCAATTTAAGTTTATAAAAGATAGACAAAAGGCTCCCTGAATAAGCCTGAGTAGAGCCTCATTTTTATGAAGTGGTATATTCCAGAAACTAGTTATGCAAGAGTTGTGTGGTATATGATGGATTCTTGCAATGGTTTATTGGTTGCAAAATGATATGGAGGTAGGAACTTTTAGATACAAATCAGTCTCATTGGTTACTGAGAATTACTTGTTTAACCAGCTGATTTTGTTTCTTACCAGGAATGGAGAATTGGACCAACTGTGCTCACTCTGTGTGAACACCTTTTTGTGAGCTTTGCAATTCGTTTTCTGCGAAAGCAAGCTGGAAAAGTCATTTCCAGGGTAAATGTGAAAGAGAAGTTGGAATCTGATACTGAGAAAGCCATTGTCCCTATTTCGACTGTTGTGGAGCAGAAGGTGAAGCTTGTTTGGCAATGGGGAATCGGGAAGTTTGTACTGTCAGGTATTGTGGCTTATATTGATGGACGCCTATGCCGTTCCATTCCAAATCCCATCGCAAGAAGGGTGGTTAGTGGGTTTTTATTGAGTTTTCTTGACAAAGAAGAAAAAGAATAAAACGTGTCTTTTTATTCTTCTAAGTTCTACTTATTTCTTTCTGACTGTAAATTGGTTGTTGATAAAAATCATTCAGGGTTTTTCTGGCATAACCCCCTTAGCTGTAGTTATTACTGACACTAGGTTGCTTGGTAAATCATTTTGGCAGTGCTCATTTTCCTTTATTAATAGGGAAAGGAAACTTGGTCATCATGGTTTGGCCAAGTTGGCCATTAGCCTCTTGAATGAGATCAATCAAGTGTAAGGACTGCTTTGTGTGGCTAAATGAAGCTGCATGCTAAAATTATCAACTGCCGCTCTTTTGTAAGGTGGCGTACGTCCTTGCAACTACTTTTGACCCTATATATACAAAGGTGGCTATTGACGAAAAAAATATTTTGTAAGATTAAAGTGAGAGGAGATTGACAAAGAGAACATGTCAGGGTCTGGACTCGCCCATTGTTTCCTCAGACAGGACATGTTTAAGCTATAAACCGTGGCTGAATTTCAAGCATTCAATTTTTTTAGGCAATTGTATTTGTTTTTCGAGGAGGTATGCTGTGTGGTCACTCAAAACGGTCGAACTAGTGGGATTGAAGAAATCTGAAGACTGAAAACATTCCAAGTGAACAGGAACATTGAAATTTGATACATTTAAATGTATATCATATTAAGTGATAAGTTATTATCACTTAATTTTTGAAGTAAATTTTGTTTAAAAAATTTAGTGTCACTTAATTAATTTAAATATTTTATTTTTAGTTATAATGCATATAAACATATTTAAAAATTTGAATTTGTTAAATTTAAGCACTAAATTGAATTATTATCAAACAGGTTTTTCTAAATTTACGGGAAAAAAAATGTCGCGACTGGGAGAGTCCGCCTACAGGAATTTTATTTGGATATAATTCACAATTTAAGCTACGTTGGAGGTGTTAGTGTAGATAATAGTTTTCAAATTAACTTTTAGCTTTGCGTATTAGAACCTGCCGTTCTTTGATTTCTTTGTCTGCCCTATTTTATATAGAGTTTTGTAGCGAAGCAGTGCGCAGCACTACATGCCAAAGCCAGCACTCGGTGGAAACCACCAGCTTTAAATAAAATACTAGGGGTGCCTCGTTATGTCAGTGAGTAATCCGTGTCCTAGTTTCATCAACCAAATAAACAAATCAATCAGAGTCATGCCCACAGAAACCTTTCCAAACAAACGACGGCGATACTATATATATATACACACAGCGACAGAAGCACAATGGAATTGCAACCTTCTCAGTCCCTCTTACTAACCATCACAAAGTTGGAGTTTCACGCCAAGAAATGGCATTTATGATCTCTAAGAGCAAACCACCATCTTTCTCTGAGCCACAGGAATTGAGCCTTCCCCACGGCGCCAGGAACGAGTCGACCATCAACTCAGTCACTAGCCAGCTAATCTTGAAATCATCATCAGCTGCAGCTCGTGATGGCTCTCAACCCCTTGATAGAGATGTTGTCCTCAAACGCATTCGTCACCATAAGTCAATGTACAAGGTCCGTAATGCTCTCCAGGCTCTCCTGGCTGCTGATGATCATGCAGATGCACATTCTCTCCCCGATAATGAGCAGAAGTGGCTGCAACTTGGTGACGCTTTTTCCTCCCCATGATCTCAAGTGGCGCTCATCAATAGCATATCGAGTCAACAGCTTGGTAATCCGTGTGATGGTAGCATTATTTGCAATGTTTTGGCTAGTCCTGGTAGTAAAAATTTTGCCGTCTTGCTAAATCTCAGTGCTAGTTGTTTTATGGCTCGGGCTGAGAGACCAAGACAATCTTTGTTTTGAGTTCTTGTGGGCTGTAAAATTGTAAATATTGTTCTAACATGCATACTCTGCATGTCTTCAATTTATCTCAACTGTCTGATCTCTCTAGCAAGCGTTGAAACCCTGTTCTGTAGGTGGGTTACTTGTTCTCTCATGATAAGGATGGCTTCATCATTGCTGCAATATGCTTGTCATTTTTATGAACCAGTGCAACATTCTGAACGAATATCTTTTTCTTCTTATAGTTTCCGGAAAAGAAAGCACAATGGATAATGATTAAAAGCAACGAGACCCGCAATATAGTCAAGTATTTTAAAATCTCTAGCGCAGAATAAAAATCCATAAATCTTCCACGGTAGGTGGCTCCTCTTTGGAATCTCGCATGAGAAGGCAAAGCTTGTAGTGGCTTGCAACAGCTTAATATTCATTTTAACGAGCAAAACGGAATATGACAAAATCTTTAGTCAGCACAAATGCACCCATTAGTTTCATCATTCGTTGAAGAAGTACTGCCTTGTGGTGTTTGGTGTCATTTTGATATGGAGGAAATTCAGTCTACTGACTAAAACATCCGCATCCCAATGCCGCATACACTTGGCAATTAGTTCCACTGAATAATTATCAGCAACTTTCTTGATTAATGGATCTTCTGTTAGTATAAAACAAGAAAAAGTGGTTGAACACGTAAGTGGGAGAGCATATCTGAAGATATCTTTCAGAAAAATAAGCAACTACAGTTGATGGCAACCAAAAAGTGGAAGCATAACTTAAATATTGTTTGAGATCCATTGAAGTCGCAATTATTAGTTCATCTAAATGTCACAACATGAAAATGGAACTGCTTTGGCACAAAGGGATGGATTTGCAAAAGATGTACAACATGTTATCTGAGGCCACAGTGACGCATGATAGGATGCATACCTGCAGCTGTTGACATAAATGCAATCTTTACTATCAATTCCACTTTTTACTTTCTCAATGGAGAATGTAAGGTGTACCATGATGAGAGACATAAACTATCCTCGCTTTTTTTACAACAGCATGTGGATCCCCCTGAGCATGTGTACCAAGGAAGCTGTTACTTATCATTTCTTAGACAGTAACCCTGAAGTAGAAAGGAGCCGCAATGCTTGATCTGAATTGTTCAGAACAGCAGATGATCTTGAAATCTGCATTTTCCGTTTCTTCAGAAACTCCAGTGAACTCTGTAAACATTGAGCCGGTGGTATCTCCTCTAGAATAATAGGTTCTAGCCTATAAACCACAAGGAGAAGGGAATTCTGTCAGTTGAACAGACATAAAACACTTAGGCTTCCATTCATTGAACATGTCTTACTCTGTCCGAGAAATGCAATTGACAGGCTATGAAATTACAGGATATTCATCTACCAGGAAAGATAGGAAAAGCTGCATACCCTGGTCTTTTCGTTCTCTTCTTCTTCGCTGAGCTGGGCTTTTTCTTTGGTTTTTCTTCTTCTGAATCCGATGAAAAAACTTTCCTGCAGATAAGCTTACAATGTCAGCAAGAGACCGTATCAGGAGTACAAAATCCACAATCAGGAAAAAAGCAAGTTTGCATAACCCACTTCTCGCCAGCTGCAAGAAGTTTCACAATTTCATCTGGCAGCATTCCCTGGTAATCAAGGGACTCTTGTTTTGGTTCAATTTCCTTCGCATCTTCAATGCTTTCCTCCTCTCCCAAGGGTCGTGGAGTTACCTTTTGAGCCCATCTTCTCCGACGGTCTTTTCCCTCGCGAACAACTCTACAGAGAAGGTACTATATAAATTCAGATAAAGCCACAGACAGAGATTCACCAAAAATCACTATGGTTAGCGTCCCAAGAAACAGAGACAGAAGAACCTTGCCTTTATTTATCAACGTAGATATTATAGTTGCAAAGCTCTAAGTCTCATAAATCCAAACAGAAATTCCAAATTATATCTGGCTGTCTATTGAGCAGACGGATCCCGAAAATAAGTTCAACGTTCGCAGCCAAAATTAAAATTAAAATTTATTTATTAAAAAAAAAACCCACTACACCAGGCACTCGCACCTGAGAATAGTGATCACATTAATCCAACAATCGTGCAATTGCCAAATGCTTCAAAAGGGCAAATTTTTTCTACTCAAAAAGAATTACAAGACCAATAATTTAGGGGAGTCACGATGCACAACATTAATCACCACTATTATTATTACCTACCTAACTAAGCTCATAAAATACCTCTCCTACCTGGCCTTATTTTCTTTTTGGAGTCTAGTTATTTCTTCATCTTGTTCGATTCCCTGAAAAAAAATAAAAGAAACAGTCAGGAAAATCATACGGCTATGGATCGAGTAACTAAAATTGATTTGAAAGCTAAAAGAAGGAAGAGATACGGACCTGTTGAGAGGTGAATTCCTCGGGGGCTGCATCGTCGGAGTCACTATCTCCTCCCCTTCCCGACATCCTTCCGAATTCTTTATATATCAAAGTTTGAAGGGTCTTCTTCAGGCATTAAGAATTCAACTTCTGGGGTTTAAGCCTTTAAGGTTAGGGTTAGGGTTTTTGAGGGTCACATTTTTTATTCAAAGCCAGCCCGCAGCACCCACAGTTACTGCGTCTCTTCGGGATTTTGTGGGGGGGAGCTTTTGCGAGAAAATGAGGCGAGTTTGAGCCCAAAGGCAGAGAGGCGGGTTAGCCCAAAAGCAAAGTGAGGAGAGTTTGAGCAAGGGTGAGAAGGTCTAGCCCAAATAAAATAGTCGAAGCGTACAAGCTGGAAATGATCTTCATTTCTTTTTCTTTTTTTTTTTCTTTTTTTTGCAGTGTTCATTTCTTAAATAATTTGAGAAGCAATCACTACTATCTTCAAATTGCAAATTTGGAATAAGCACTACAGCACATGGAATCAAGGCAGGATTCGGAGCGGTCTCAAGAAGAGAAAGCCCCGTATTTAGCGTTTGAACAAATTATAAAACACTCCCTGAAATGATCAAATCTTTAACAAAGAGACCCTTTCCTCATTTCCAGTTCTTCATTTCTTTTATTTTTTTTTGTCATTTTTTGGTCTTCATTTCCTATTATGATAAACTCTCCTTTTCAATTTCTCAACGTATGCTACAAATTGATGTCTTTTCTTTTTCAATTTCTTTTGTTTCAGCACAAAAAAATGCTATTTTTGTTTGAGAGAAGAAGAAGAAGAAATACAAATACTCACTCTCTATTAGTATTTTTATTTTGTTTGCTCCTCTCTTAGATAGATAGTGCTTCCGTCATTTCAATGTTTCTGTTAGATGGATTCGGATGCTGTTACTGATAGGGGGGTGATGGTAATATGGTCAAATCTTAGGGTGGATATTGTAATTTAGACATACCTCAAGGGAGTAAATGTAATTAACCCAATCTTAAATTACTCTATCAAATATCAAGAGCCACCTTTGATTGTTTTTTTTTTTTTTTTGAAATTTTTATTAAAAAAAAATACTACAATAATTCGATATACTTGAGATAAAGTGATGATTAAAAAATGTATTCACAGAAAATATAAAAAAAAAAAATTTGAGAAAAAATCACAATCCAAATAAGATCCAAGTCTCTTATTTCTGCATCAATTCTCAAAAACGATGGTGATTGCTCATGGATGGGCTTGTATTCTATCCGTTATTTAAGTAACTTGTGCAATGGGCAATATGACCGCCTTTGCCCACTTGCAACGGTCATGTGTCAACAGCCCAACAACTAGGAGGGGTAAATGTCCGGAACAAACGAACACTGTAATGTAATACATACTACGACACTTGGCAAAACTGTAGGAGTTACTCCCATGGTAAAAAATAAAAATTGCAGCTGCCTTTTCCACGACTGAGAGAGTTACTCCCACTGTCAATATAATTCTGACAATCCAAGAATGATTGCAAATTTTTCTACATTCTCGCTCTGTATCTTAGCGTAAGAATTCGATGTACATCTTTTTTAAAAAGAAAATAAAAAAAAAAGTGCGATCCTTTTCCATTTTCATAGTTAATAATTACGTACGTGAACTAATCTCAACCGTTGGAAAAAATAATCGAGTATGAACAATCACGAATAGTTCTAGATAACTTTTTGATAAACAAATTTTGCAGTTATAAGAGGCAAGAGTCCAAGTCAGCTCTACCCCTCGAAGGAAATGCTGCAACCAATTCTTGTACTGTTCACGTACTCTCTCTTGCGGGAAATTTCTGACATTGACCCTACAATGACCGCATTTTAGATCCCAAAGGACGTTGAGATGTAAATATTTTCACTAGCATTTCAACCTTCTAGCTCTAGCAAGATGTAAATTTGGGATTGGAGGAGACGTGGACTTGATAGAATCACTTTCGTAAAATGGTCCCCTTCCTTTTTCTTTTTTTTTTTTTAAATATAAATCACAGATATTCGTATCTTTTCCTTACTGTCTATGACTAATTCTGTTCAAGTTGGATCAAGTCTCTTGTAGGGAAACTCTTACAAAAAAAAATTCTTCTAACATTATTGTCCTTTTCATTCTTACAAGTTTCAAACCCAAAGCCTCGCAGTTAAAGAATGCATGATTGCTTTCAATATATTTCACTGTTTTATCAAAAAAAAAAAAAAGTTAATAGATGCAAGCCCCTTTCTATATTTCATTAATCACTGTTTAATTGGGTCATGAGCAATAAAAAGAAAAAAAATAAGCAGACAAGGTTCAAGATAGAGAGTCTAACTGCAGTGGCAGTGCATTTCTTGTAGGTTGATTTTTCGTGCACTCGTTTTGGAGATGGGGGAAATATTTTTATTCGTCACACGTAGAGGATGGACCGATGCCAGCTATGATCGTTCAATTTTGCTGGATAGCACCTTTCTCTAAATTACACCCCTCTCCCTCAAAAAAAAATACATAAATATAAATTTAGAAAAAAATAATAATAATTAGAGTCCTGTCTTTAAGAAACTATATATATAGACTGGCATGCTACAAAATGTAAATTGGAAATGTCTATCCATTACGATTGTTGTAATAATACTTGTGGCAGTTCATTAATAATTTATTGTTGTGTTCGACGTTTGACTAGTCCAAGCTTCAAGAGTTGCACGTAGCAAAACAAGCTCGATAATTCATAAACTCCTAAAAAGTCGTTGAAGCAGCTGAAATGTTGGATTCCATCCTTTGCGTCTTTAGCCTTTAGATTATGTGTCGTCATTTTGGATTGTTTAATTGCAAAATACAGCAGGAATCTGGAGTTAGGCTCCATGCAATGCTTACATATGCCTAGCTAATGATCAAGATACATTATATTGGTTGACTTTTGTGCTCTCCAACAGTTGCACACATGTTAAACAAGTACGCAAATTTGCCGCAATTTTATGGTTGTCGCGAATCAGCTGCACCACACATTTTGGGAGTTATTAGGACACCAGATTTGGCGTCAGATCTGATTTTGCTTTTTGACAGTTTAATAGCGCCATCCGCTCTTATATATATATATAAAAAAAAAAAAAATCTCTACGATCTTGCTACTATATTTCATAATCACATTTTTACTTCAGATATATATCAAATAGTTACCATTATAATACATTTTTTACAAAAATTTCAAAAAAGTTGCAATCCAAACACAAAGTATGTCACATTTTCTTGAGAGGCTCTCTTGGGAAGTTGCCTCGCCTCGCCTTTGTTTCTTATTCTGTCTTCGTCGTTTCTCGGGTATTTTTCTTTGCTAAAATTCAACATCATTTGAACACATTTGTAATTGGGTCAAAACAAAGCAAGAATTTAGAATCGGTTTGAATTGCTATTTTTAGAAATCTTTTTAAAAAAATATATATCATTACTATTTGATTTGATGTATGTAAAATAAAAAAAATTAATTAAAAAATGTTGTACTGAAAATCCCAATCCAAACAAACCTACAAAAGTTACCAGACAGAAAAGCTGAAGTTTGAAGTACTTCAAGAAGACGCTAGAATGCATGTAAAAAAAGTAGTGATATGAAAGCAGCTGCAAGCTCTTTGATAAAGGTGGAGGTAGATAGTTAAACATGGCCCTCTTAACGCGTTCGAATGGGAGAAAGAAAAGGCGAGGACTTTGAAGGGGGTGGAGGACACGCCAAGATTCTCTATCAACCACTCTTTCTCCACCGGATGTGATGGTCAGTCATCCCATTTATTTTTTTGAATCTGTAAAGAACTTGCTGTTTGAATATGTTTGGATTGTAAATTATTTGAGATATTTTTACTGTAGCACTTTTTGTGATGTGATGTATGTGAGATAAAAAGTTAATTGGGAAGATAAAAAGGTATGTTGGAAATTGTAATGATGATGTAAGCAAATAAATTTTGACAAATAATCCTCAATCCAAACATCCCATTACTATCTGCGTGTTTATCTAATATGGCACCCCAGATAATACTCTGTAAGATTTCTCCATCTTATACACGGAACTCTTTTCAAATTTGAATCACCTCGTTCTGTTGTTTTGACTAAGCTGAACTTGACAGCAATTGAAAGAAGTGGCTTTTTTTTTTTTTTTTTTATTTAAAGCAAAGAGAAACTTTAATAGAGTATAAATAGAAAAAAAAAATAATAATGGTTTAACAGCAGAACTCTTAAGAGCTGCAAACCTCTAAAGCCCTTTTACAAACTTTCAGCAATTCAGTCTGCGTATGCAAATTAAAGTTAGGTAAAGCAAACAAAAATAGACACGACACGCATCTAATTTTGTTGCACCTGGCTTTGTCATCTCTAATTTGCTATACTTGATTGCTTTTTTACTCCATTTCTATATCTACAACTTAATTTATAGCACCATTTACTACATCTTATAGCTAATCAATGTACCTCTTCCGGCCTATAAATTCAAACTTGATCACGACAGACACCTGAGAGTCCGCAAGGAGTCGGATAAATTTTATATCTTCTAACTACTGCTGTATCTTGCGCCAAATCCTTGTCTTCATTAGGAACGGGTCATTTTATAAGTATTGGATTTGTTGCATCTCTGTCATCGAACCATTCTAATGTTATCTCACTTCTCAACCTGGTCATCATTTTATCTTTAGACTTTAAGCACCAGTTGCTGTCCCAAGTATATTTGGGATCCCTCCCAAATGATCCGGTGTTTTTTTTTTTTAATCTTTCCATCCCTCCTACCATTCTTTCACTCCCAAGTATCAGTTGCATGATTCGAACCCTGAATCGAACAATGGTAGCAGAGTTTTAAGAACTCTTCTTTTAACCGTTGAATTAACCCTAGGGATTCAAGAATTGCTTTGCTATGTGTTCTTAAAACTTCATTTGGTACTTCTAGAATATTTCCTCTTATGAGATTATTACCGTTTGGTAGTAAATCAATCCTAATTACTGTTGCTCTATATAATCTCTAGTTTTTGCATCGATCTCTTAGTTAAACCTTTCAAGTTTGGACTTTTGTTTTCTTCAACTAGAAAAAAAAATTAAATATCATTGATAGCTTTATTGCTTCGAAGAAAATACAGCATTAGAATTATGTCACAACTATTTTCCTTCATCTAAATATAAATCGGAATCGTATTTGCTAATATATGTATAAACCTAATTGTACAACATCTTAAATGTAATTCTTTATGACTTGTTGTGTAATTTTGAAAAGGACTCGACAGCCGCACCGGAAAAAGA